ATATAACCATGAAATAGGCAGTTTCAGCATGTCTTACAATGCAGCATATTCTTTTTAAATTTATCCTACTAGGTTAATAATAGACACTTAAAATTCTGGCCTACAATCAGTTATTTTTCTTACTGCATAATCTTACACAAGTATGAAGACTATACTATAAGTTTGCTTTCTAATTACTCATCATTAGGACTTCAAGAATACCATTCAATTACACATAAAACTATGGATATAAAATTTATTTCAACTAGACATTATCTTATTGCAAAGAAATATTGTAAAAGTAGTTACATTAAAATGTAATGCTACATAATAAAGAAAATTTGTATTTTGGACTGCATTAAGAATGGCTTAAGGCATTGTAGTTACCTTGCAAATTTATAAAGGAGTAAACTATTAATAACAATACGAGATAAGCAATGTTTTTTAAACTTAAGAGGTTCTCCTAAATATTAAAAATGAAAACAAACAACACATTCCACCACAGGAATATTTGCCTACATTCTTAGGAATCTAAGGATCTAGGAAATGCAAAGATTACATAAATAGCTGTGGCAGACAATTTAATGGCTTAAGAGCATGGGCTCTGCAGTTGAATAGCTTAGAATCAAATGGCAGCTTGACCAATTTGGCAACTGTGTGTCCTCAGATAAATTACTTCATTCTCCCTGTACCTCAGTTTCATCATCTGTAAAATGAGGATAATAATGGTATCTACTTCATGATATTTGGGGAGTTCTGTGTGAGATAACACATGTAAAGTGTTCATAATAGTAGGGGACATACGATAAATCTGGGATAGATGTTAGCTACTATCACCACCATTATTGGCCCCAAATATATTAACTGATCCTGCCTTTCATTCAGCATTTTTATGAAATTTAAGGGAAACATGCTGTTTCACAGAATTTTTTATTCTTATTTCAAATGTTTGCTGATGTGATGATTGCACATCAGTAATATACCAGATACTGTGTTAATTATAGGGCATCATAAACACCATGGACTTTTGGTCAAAGAGTAAATTATATAACAAAATTTTTATAGGAGTCTAAAGTTATACATTGCCCTGAACTCTGGTAAAGCATGTCACAGTGTGAAAAATAAACTTATTGACAATGACAATATAGGTGGTCATTAATAAATATGAGTTCTATAAATAAAATAATTGTAATGTTAATGGTAGAGATTGCTTTTCAGTTTAACTAAAATTCTCCCAGAAGTTTAATCAATTCCATAGGAAACACAAAAGAATGGAATACAGCATGGCAATCTGAGTGTGATTCCTGGGTTTCATAGCCCTGTTCAACCTGAAATATTATATGTGCTCAATAAAGATTTATCTGGCCTAAGACTGTAACTGAAAAGCACTCCAGAATCAATACTGACTCAAGGAGATATTGCCCCCTAGTGAAAGATTGGGCTTATTATCTGAAACTATCAAATAATACTGAGAACTTCCCAAATTTGACACTCTTTAAAATACTTCATGTATATTCATCATGTGTCAGTATTCAGACTAGGTACTGTACTGGTAATACAAAGACGAATATCTGCTTTCTACAAACTACAGACGATACAAAGAAATACATACTCCACAGAGAAGCACAGTGTAAATGGTATTGCAGTGGGGGGTGGGAGGGAAGGTTTGCTTATTAGACAATCAAAAGTTATTATTTCAGGAAATCTACTAAAAAGGCAGTTTAGTAATAGAAAGTAAGATCAAAGACTCCAAGTTCAGACTGTATGGATCCAAGTCCTGGCTCCTGTAAAAGTGGGTCATTATAGAACCTATCTCATAAGATTATTATAGCAAATTAAATATGTGTAAAGTGCTTACAACAGTACCAGGAATATGGAAAGTGCTTTGTACATATTAGCTATGATGATGATTAAATGTAGAGAAGGATCCTAAAGATTGAGGCAGATGAATATTGATTAATAACAGAACATTATTGCTAAGGTCTAGCTTTGTAAATTTAATTCAGTAGAAGCCGTTTCTCTGACTAGTACTCTGTTATTGTGGGAATCCTTAAAGTAACATTACTCTGTGACTAAACTTTGTATTACTAGATGATTAAACCTTTCAACATCAGACAAATAAAACTGGCTTCTGAAAGTAAAAATCATATTTCTTACCAAAAAAAGCAAGAAGTCAGTAGGATGAAAGACCCAAAAGACCACAACCTGAACATATGCTTAACAGAGAAAGATGCTTGCTGACTCTTCACAGATTTTGCTAGAACTGAAAGATGGATGATACATTTAGCTACCACTGTGGTCTCATTTGCAGTTTATTTAACTTATTTTTTAAAAAGCTCACTCCATTTTCCTTGAAAATTACCTAAACTTATCAGCAGCTTTGATAAATATCACTTAAAAGCCATGTAACTGTTTCATATTTTTCAAATTTTGTACCATTAAAACATTTATGTAAAGCTATATGTACACTTTATTTTCAGAAAAGAAAGTCTTGTCAAAATATCCCTCTATTAAAAAAATAAATAAAAATATAAAGCAAACTTAGAGCAATAAAAAACATGACAATTTTCAATAAAATATTTAAGACTATTTGACTTGATGATTCTGGCTTGTACTTAATGAGTAAATTATTTTATAGTCTTAAACAACCTTCCATTTTCCTATGGCTATATAACATGCACAAGAACTATGTTAGATTTTGGATTTCTTGAGATTATATAACTTCTTCCTAAGCTTCCTCTTTAAAAATAAGCAGCAAAGAACTAGGAAAATGTGTTAAAAACATTTTAAGTTTTCATTTATTTGTTAGAATATTTTAAAATGTGTTCTAAGTGCATTGCACAAAACAATTTTAATTTCATGTGTATTATCTGATCATTTCTAAAACACATAGAACTCCTTCCTCTTCCATGTTAAGATAGTGTGGATATAACATGTTCTTAATGTTATGCATTTAATTTTCTAATACACCTAACCAGAAGGGTACATATTTTGATAAATAGCATGAAAAGGCTGCCAAAAGAAAAAGAGAGGAAAAAGTCCTTTTTCAATTCTGTTCTATTTATAGATGCTTACCAGCATCCAAAAACATAAGTTCCCATAAAGTCAAGTGTGTACTGGTTGGATGAGCATGCTAACAACCCATTCTACCTTTCTTTGTTTATTTTAATCTAGTGCTTATTAATTTACAAAGTACTTTCACAGTCCCCATCTCAATGTATCTTCACAAACAACTCAGGCAGCACAGGCATCAGTAGTAGTGGTACCATTTACTAGAAAAGAAAATGGAGCTTTAGGAAGGTAAGAGTCTTATGCAAGGTCACTAAGGAAACAGAACTGAGCCTAAAGCTCATGCTTTTACTCTCCTAAAACACTGCTCTTTCTACTTAGGCTTCTAAAATAAACTTCTCAGTTGAAAATCTATTATCTAAAAACCATATGGGCAAACCTAGCTTGGTTAATCTAATGATGAAATTCTGCTACTAATGACAAAAAAAAAAAAAAAAGATAAAAGTAGAACTCGCATTTGTAGTGAAAATGTCAAAAGCCTAAAAAGCAAATTAGAAATTGAATGAAGACTGTTGTGAAACCTCCTGAGCCTGAGGAAATAACTGAGCTGCCTACTTCCTATATAACAGTTCCAGTCATAAAGTCCTTATGTGTAATTCTCCCTTATGTGAAGATTTACAGGATACAAAGGAAGACCGGTTTTAGGGTACATGTTTTAATTAAACACCAGATTTGGACATTGGATAACTTGAGAAACCCATTTGTCTCTTCCTATAATCAGGCAGTGTTTATTTTTGTTAATATTTGTTTGTAATAGTAAATAGTACTGTGTTATTTAACAATTCTCCCATTAGTAACAGTGTTCTGTAAATTTGAACACATATATTAGAGAAATTCATTATTTCTTCTCTGTTAAGCTCTTCAAAATAAGTCTCAATTTTACACATTATTTTCTAATATAATTTGCCTGAGAAGACGCAATAAAATCCATATTATGATTAAAAAAAACAACTTCAGGTTTAGAACTTAATTGTTTAAAAACTCAGCACTTATCACAACCATTAACCAATTCGATCCATATTAATGCAATAAACTTAACCATTCACATTTCATTCATTTAAAACATTTTGTTCAAATACTTCTACCTTAATGTAGTCTATTTATACATATTTGTGTATTTATGCAGTTACAACATTGTGTGCAAGCTATCCTAAACAATGAATGATAATATATGACATCCTAAACAAATCGAAGAAATGAATAAAGTTTTTAATATATAAAAAACATGAATTACAATTTTGAGATTGACAGCATTATCTGTACAACACAGAACAATGAAAACCTAGTATCAGGACAGAAATTAAAGAAATACATAAAAAATAGCATAAATCCATACATTCTAATAATGCCCTATTATTCCTGAAAAATGTTTCCAGTCTTTATTTCCTTATTTCTCAGAATGATAGAACATATGTAATTTTAGAGTAGAAAAAGACAATAGATTTCTAATTCTGGGCCCTACTTTCATTGACATTAGTTTTTTGCTTTCTTTACATGTTAAGAAACTCTCTAAACAACTTATTTAAACTATGTACTTTACAAAAACATAGACTAAGAAATTAATCAATATTCAACTGAACACATTAAAGAACCATATTTCCTAAATGTTACTTAACTTTTAAATTTGGTTAACATTCCCAAATAATTTTTAGGTACATTTTGTTTATTTAAATTGACTGACAAAGGAAGTGATAACTACCTTTCTGTGATTCCAACATAAGGGCACAACTTTTACATGTGTTTTTGCTGATATTTAAATTCCAGAATAATAGTGCTTATGGAAAAAATAAAATGTTATAATAACAATCTATTTTATCTGCTTGGCTCTTACAATCTATTCAAGAGGACTTTAATACAAAGAATGACAGTTTTCACATAATTCATGATTCCTGATTCAGTATAAATGTAAAGGCCACTCTAAATATTATTTACTTATCGAGAAGTGGACTTACCTTGGAAATCATAAGTATACAGAAGAATTGGCTCATTCTGCCCAAATGCACAAAATGCAACCATATTTTCAAGTGGATGATAAGAAATGTCTCGAATGGGTGACTTGAACGGCAGGTCAGAATACATTGCTACTTGTTCTCCTAAGTAAGAAAAGACATTCAATAATTTGTATTGTTATTTCTCATTTGAAGATTATTTTGCAACTTATCAAAAATATTTATGGAAAGCAATGATGGAGCTCATGGTATTTACATGAAAACCTCAAATACTTATAAATATTTGAGCACTGCTAATATTAAATAATGATCTTTATTTTTCATTCTTTTGGCCCTCCTCTTCCTGCTTCTCAGTCCAAACTCTTCAATGAGGTTGTCAAGGCATAAAGCAAAGGCAGAGTTTAGAAGCGAAGAGGTACCTGGCTCTGAGGTCTGACAGGGCTGAGCAAATGCCAGCTAGCAAAAAACTGCAGGGAGCTCAGGGGGAACTGCAGGGCTCCGAGACCGAACCAGCTCTCAGTTTGGGGGCAGGGTGGTGGGGGCTTGGTGGGGAATTAATTATTTTCCAGATGCTGTATGAGGTACCATCTGCTTTAAAAATACGTATGATTACTAATGGCTAAAAAAGCCTACAGCAGAGGTCTAAGGAACCTATGAAAAGCAGAACTCAAAAAGCAAAAAACTCTTGATCCATTCACTTAAGGGGAAAAGAGATTTAATACTTTTGAATTGATCCTAAAGTATCAAAATGCAGTAAGAAAAGGAAAAAAACCTAAGTGAACTGACTAGTCAAAAATGCCTAAAGGGAAGACCAAGAATATAAACAAAAGATAATTAAATACTATTTATAAAGATATTATACAGTGAATTTTATAAAATTCTTTCAGTTTATTGCTAAAAATATTTATGTACTTTTAACTTTTTTTTGAAAGACAAAGATAAGGAACAAATGAACTTCCCAATGTAATAGTGTATTTTATTAGATTATAGTAATTCAGGTAAATTCCTATTAAGTTTCACACATCAAAAACTGACAGGAATGTTTCTAGTGAAAATATATTGTAGCTGTTTCACCACTTGTATACCTAGTTATATTCTAAATTCAGCTCATAATATTTGTATTTTATGTTACAGTCATCATTAACTACTTCTCTAAGATTCACAATATCTCATTATAGATAAGGAAAGAATAGATCTTAAATTTTAATGTGAAACTCAAAATCCATGAATATATCAAAACAATAAGGAAGAGAATTTAATATAAATTTAGACTGCAACTGATTTCCATTATTAGCACTCCGATTCTGAAAAACATAATTGAGAATCTGTAGTCAGAATTTCCTGGAAAATTATTCCATAAAATGGTAGTTTCACATTTCTTCAAAAACCAAAATACTTTTTTTGCAGATTAATAAAATATTTACCTGTTTCTGGGTTCCAAACGAATACTAAACCATCCTCACTTCCAGCGAAGAGAAAAGTCCCACATGGTGTCAAGGTACTATGAATCTTCTCCCGGTAATTTGCTGCTCCTACAAATTTCCTTGCTGCTAATCTGTAAACAAAAAAAGATTTTACAAATGTAAGATCTATGTGGTAAAAACTTTTAAATATTGGTGAAAAAACTTTCAAATTTTTTTAACAAATAATTTCTGAAAATCTGTTATGTGGGAAAACATTCTATGATGGATGCAGAATGAAGAAGAGATAGTGCTAGAGCTCAGGAAGTTTAAAATTAGTAGAAGAAGGAATGCATCAATGTAAAATAGAAAGTGGATGTAGAAGTGCCACAAGAGAAGAAAAGAAAGAGTACTTTGCAGATTTGGGTAAGAAAAATTATTTCTAGCTATGAAGAGAGACTACTTTATGGAAGTAGCATTTGAGCTGATTACTAAAAAAGGGAGAGAACTTTTATATTTTTTCACGTGATTAATTTTAAAAATCATACTTCATCCTTGCAGAAATATTAGACACAACATATTATTAAATCATCTATTAAATATGATATACAGCCTTCTAGGCTTTTTTGCTTATGAAAAATAGCTAACAATGCTTTAATGCTTACTATGTGCCAGTTAGGTACTATTATCAACCCTAGTTCACAGAGAGGATAGTACATATACTGCTCTGTTACCTGCTTTTTCCAGTCAACAAAAAAAAAAATCACAAGTAATGGCCCTCCGTATCAGAATGTAGATTATGCATTATCATTTTAATAGGTATCTAAATATGTCTTAAGACATTTTCTATTGCTGAACAACACACAATGTTCCCAGCTTTCCCCTACCATGAACATGATTTCTATGAACAATCTTGTTTATGAATATATTTTTGCCCTGTTTAAGTCATTTTTATTAAACTTATTGGCATGATACTGGGTTAAATAACATTATAGATGTTTCAATGTACAATTCCTTAACAGATCATCTGAATGTTACATTGTGTGCTCACCAGCCAAAGTCTAGTCACCATATTTGACCTCGTCTTCATCCCCCACTGCCTTCCTCTCTGGTAACCTTCACTCTGTTGTCTAATTTCTTGCACTGTTTTATATTATCTTACCATAAATTTTCAGCTCTGAGGTTATAGAATCAAACGTTTCTGCAGTCCTTGCCATGTGTTGTAATAATTTAAGTACTTTACATGTATGAACTATGAGTATTTATATTATTTCTCCCAATTGAGTGATGAAAAAAGAGAGGCACAGAGAAGAATATGAGCTAGTAAGGGGTGGGCAAGGCCATATTTCATTCTAAGCAATTTGCCTCTAGAGACCAAGCACGATCTTAAGCTGAAAACTATATTGCTTAAAAAGAGAATAACCAAACTCCTTAGGCCTGATCTTCTAAAATCTGGCTATAACCTCTACTTGTAAAAATCTGCTCTCAGCATTCCTTATCAAGAAACCATGCTCATACAGACTATCTCCTTCTGTCTAGAATACAACTTACACTCTCCCAACTCTGAACATCCTTCCAGGTTTTTCACATTTTCCACCCTACGGAATGAACATACTTCCATCTTATCTACATTCTGCCCATTCTTCAAGACTGAGTGCAAAAGCCAGCCTCTCCACAGAGCCTTTAACAGAAAGACCATATTATAGCTATCACCTATGTTGCCATGAAAAAGATAATCCTTATACTATGTATTTATATTCATTAAAAACACATACTGAGTACTTGTTGTCTGCCAGGCATAGCATGGCTGCTATATACAGAGAAAGACCTCATAATTTAACCTAATTAAATGTTTTGTGTGTTATTCTAGAGGCAGTACAACTGGATTATAAACTCCTGAGGAGCTACTTCTGGTTATCACGCTCCCACAGCACCCATGCCAAGGTCTTGAACAGCTCTACATAAACAGTTAAGAGCTGCACGGTTAGCCATAAAAAGAGAACTGCAGAATAAACTAATACAGATCACTACATTTGCCTTTCTAAAACAATAATGAGATCTAATTGCTTCCTCTCATTTGTTTTAGCAGAACTCAACAGCAAAACAAAAGCACATCAGAAGTCCATGTTGACTTTCCCAGATTCTACTTCTGCCTTTTACATTCAAAGTACTTCCCTTCATTGGCTTTATTCAGAAATAAAAGAAAAAAAGAAAAAGAAGGATGAATTATTCAAAAGACCTCTCATTCAGTTATGATACTGTATCATAATATATGCTATACCTTATCATAGATAAAAGGTATTTCATGATAGAGGTGTTTTTTAATTGTGAAAATAGAAAGCAACTGACTACATTTCAGCTTCAAAACTATTCACATTTTGGGCCAGATAATTCTTTGTTGTTGGGGGCTGTCTTATGAACTCAAGGATGCTTAGAAGTATCAATAGTCTCTATCCATTAGATGTAGAAGCAACATTCAAAAATGTATCCAGACACTACCACAGCTGCATTTTATAAATATGAATTAATTCATTCTTATTCTATTAGCGCTTAACCTGCCAATAGGGAAATATACTTACATTCGGAGATCCATCATTCTCAAAGTACTGTCTTTGGTATGGATTAACAAACGTTTTCCATTGGGATGAACCTCCAAGTGATTTATTGGAATCCCCTTAAATTCACTCTCCTTAATTTCCTAAAAAGATTTTTAGAAAAAGACTATATAATATCACCACTGTAAAGTTCCTAAAAGGATTAAAAAAAGACTCTATATAATATCACCACTGTAAAAGACTACAATGTCACCACTGTAATGCTAAGCACTTTTTAGAGTACAAAAGAGAAAAATTAACTTTAAGATTTAATTGTCAATTGTACTATACAGGATGCTTTAAAATTGTTTAAAAGAATTCCCAGTAATTTCAGTTTAAGGTTGAAAATAAAGCTGATGAAATGTATTTTTTGGCTCTTATCTAATACCACATTAATATGTATCTTTGAAGTATATTCCCAAACAAGAAACACTTCCTATAAACACATCTTCTAACATTGCATTTTCTGTTTATTATCATGTAAAAAGATTCTATTTTTACAAATTCAAAGTGCAGAATTAACTTTCAAGTTCTATTTTAGTCTCAAATTATTTCTTCATACACTTAACTTCCACTTGTCTTGAAAAAGGTGTATCATCAGCAGGTAATTATGAAATCATTTAATTTAGATTTTAATTTTAGGTGCGTTTTAAAGAAATAATTATTTAAGGCAGCTACAGAAGATGCCTGATTAATGATGTCAAGAAAGACATAAACTGATGGAAAATCTGCCTGAACAAGCCTTGCATTAATTAGAACAATCACCAAAGGTCCTTCTTGTTTGGATTTCCAAGAGAATGAAAAAAATTACAAATGCAAAACTCCTTAAAGTCCACACAGGCAGAATTACAAATTGCCCTTCTCCCCGAGGACCCTGTATAATTTGTGCCCCTTTCTCCCAGAGGGTGTCCTCTTCAGAGATGGGCTGGCATCAGCAGAGGTAGGGTAAAAACTGCTACAGGCCTAATATCAGCAGGTGACCCTCTGTTACAGCAGATTAACACTAAGACCCACTGTCAGCTATTTTCTAAAAGTTACAGAGAAAGTCAAACATGGACACCCCAGATGGGGATTTTACTGAGCTAAAGAAAACGCTTTGAGGGTGGGGATGCACTGCTGGAGACTCCAGCAACTGGAGTAACACGTTCACAGATGCATATGTGCAAAATAAAAACTGTGTAACAAGTTAAGTGATGGGTATAAGTTTGACAATGGTGCTGGCCGACTTAGTATTTGTAATATCTGTTAATAATTTATTCCATATTTTCCTTTATCATGTTCATGCTTAAACTAGAAAAGCCCTAATTCTGAAGCCCAGTTCTGTATCAAAGTAGCACACGGACACTTCATCTTAAGGGACAGAGGAGTACAACTCGGTATTTCCCACATTGCTGGTTGAAGTAAGAAAAGTAAGAGTCTCAAGTCTGTCCTATGATATAAAATACAAAAAAAATTCCAGCTCATTTCCTAACTTTTGGGGTTTTTTTACTGTCTCAAGTAACCACACCAGGCTGCAGATTCTCCAGGTAAATTTGCCTTCTGGTTAATATACTTAAGTAAAAAAGCACATGATTTTTAACACAAATAACAGACCCTGCACTGTGGACTTAAACGATTGGAACTGGTGCCTTTGGGGCCTTGCCAAACCGTCAGGTATATAAGTAATTAGAATTCTTTCAAAGTGTGTGAAATTAAGCTACAACATGAACCCCAAGCCATCATCAATCTGATAGACAGAAGAGAATGATTAAAAATAAAATAGATTATTTCTAAAACAGATCTGATAGACTCAAAAGACTTAACTAAAGTTCATGGAAGTTCTTTTATACTGAGTTGTTTGTTTTTTTCAAACAAGGACAATTGTTGTACTCTATTATAAGGAACAATAAATTGAAATATAAGTTAATACTTATAGATGGTAATGCAATATAACATGTACCTCATTTAAGCATAAATTTCAGTAATGGTCATGAAATGCCATAGTGTAAATTAGAGTTCAAGAGAATTAAAGGAAATCCTTGCCAAAATGAAGAAAATTTTCACTAAATTACTAGATTATCAATTAATCATCAGAAAGACATGATAATTAATCAATGATAACAGACTTTTCAGGGACTGAAAAAAACTTAATTTTTTTTGAAAAGAGAGAACAGGATGTCCTGACATCTTATTTTAAGGCCATGTGGTTCAATGGTTCTTCCAATTTCTTTAATTAAATCCAAAAATATGAAATATTGTTTTGTACCTTATTTACACTCCAGTGGCGCACTGAATGCTGCAAATCATTAACTTTAACATAGGTATTCCAAGCAACAATCACCCCTGTGCAGTCTCCTGAATACATGTGATGACCTATTTAAAAAAAAGAAATTACTCACTGATTAATGTTACACAGAGGTAGAAAGGAATAATATGAAATTGGGAAAATGCATGCCAGTAAAACGGTCAAAGAATCCTAGGGCTATTAAAAGGTATTTCAGTTTAATAAGCCAAAAACCAAAGACCACTAACGCTCAAATTCCAATTTTCTTTAAATGAATTCTTCACTCTTTTGGATGATTTTTGATGACTAATTTCCCTTTGGACTTCCCTGATTTTAATATAAAAAGAAATGAGCACTGCAGTACATGTATATGGTTCACATTCCAAAGTCAAACAAATTATCTGAATTATCCAATATATATCTGTATTGCTCACTTTTATCAACCTATGTAATCTGTTTTATATTTCTGGAAAAACATCTATATTCTAATATGTTGTGAGCATAATACCTGAGACCCAGCAAGAACTCAATGACCAGGGAATGAATAAACTAGTAAATAACAGGTGTTCCAGTTTAACATTAATTCTTAATGTCAACCTATCTTAAAGATGAATGAGACCTCAGAGATTATCAAGTTCAACTTCACACCCACTTAGCAATATTTTACACACCATTACAAACAGATGGTCATTCAGAAACTGTGAATTTCATGTCAAAAAGTAGCTTATTCAAATGATAAACTGCTCTAGCTATTAGGATTTTTCTTTTCTAATTCTGTAGCTTTGGCCCTATCTTTACCCATTAGAGCAACACAGACTGATTTCTCTTTTTTTAAAATATGAATATCTTAGCCAAGTAATGAAGAAATTCTTCATCTCTCTATTATAGTATGAGCTACTTCTATTATGACACAGTTTTCGGATACCTTTCTATCGTTGGCTGGCCCTTCTTGACTGTGTTCCAATATAGTAACATCCTCAGAGTAGAAAAGAGTACATTAGCAGTGCAATTTTAATTTGGATCCCATACTAATTAATTATCATTAAAGCCTACATATCTAGTGTCTGAAATAATGTAAAAATGTGACTATTTAAAAGATGTAATACATACCTTTATTCTTTCAGTTAATAAAATAATCTATATTTTATATCTTTAAAACACCATCTATACTATTCACATACTAGGATAAACCTTAAAATAATTGCAAATATCCCTTCTATATGTTTATATTTTAAAAAAGAATACTGTTGTTACATTTTAAATATATATTTTAAATATTCTTTTGGGATTTTCTCTTTATCTTCCTCATTTTTAGCCTTTAACTTAAAAGACCCTTAGTAAAAAAAAAAAAAAAAAAAAAAGTACTAAGGGGATAATCACCAATCCAATGTGATATGTTTACGAAATTTGGAACATGACCATTGTTACAGCAAAGACTAGTTAAATCTAAATGTTTAGGAACTTAATGACTTTAGAATTACAAACAAAACTCCTTTAATGCCAAATCTATGCCCAGGTCTTAAATAATCTGCAAAATATGCCTAACTTTCAATATGCACAATCATCAATACATAAAATCTTTCCCAAGCTTAAATATTTGTCCTAGTGAGATAAAATGGTTTTTAATTCTTCATACAACTAGGCTTAATTTGGAATACGTTCTCTGACATACCTTCAATATCAAAGCAGAGAGAGTTAATGAAATTCTTGTGAGTGTCAAACTGTCGAATCAATATGGCAAAATCCTCTTTCATATCAACTTTCCACATCCGTATCACAGAATCATAGCACCCTGTAACCACCAGTTCTTTTACAGCAGGATGGAATTTAGCCGTGTAAACAAAACAAGGATGAGGTAAAATCCTGAAGGTTTTTGTATTGTTTATTTCATTTTTCCATATCCTAGAAAAGGATAAAAAGTTACATATTATTTCTGAAAGGCACAAGTTTCTTTAAAATTTCTCTAAAAACCAATATAGCCAATGGAACTTACGCAAGTGACAACAGTAAGCTAAATTTCAATTTTATAACTAAACATTAGTGTTATCACATATTTGGTATGTGGGGTTCTTTACATTTGACAAAGCTATTTTCTTACAGGTACTGTTAAGCATAATGGTTAATTTGATTAACAATTATAATCTAAACTATCAAACAAAAAAAACTGTATTTGGATTTGAATATATCTGTCTTTTTAAAATCTGTCTACTTTTGCCCTGACTGGCATGGCTCAGTTGCTTGGGTGTCCTCCCACAAAGCAAAAGGTAGCTGTTTCTATTCCCAGTCAGAGTACAATACCTAGGTTACAGGTTTGGTCCCCAGTTAGGGTGCATACAAGGAGCAACTGATCCATGTTTCTCTGTCACATCAATTCTCTCTTCCCCTCTCTTAAGTGAGTAAATAAATAAATGTTTTTTAAAATTTACCTACTTTTGACACTGATTAAACAAACCCATTAAATAGTTAGTAAAATACTGTATTTAGTAAAAATACAGAGAGAAATTTTAATGATTTTCCATTTTTGGTTGTGTACTTTTGCAAAGTACTTACCAGTGGGAGTTGTTAGTTAATAAGTTATTCAATTAACTTTATATTAGTAACTTGAAAGCCTAGATAATAAACATGAAGATCTCAAAGTCTTAAAAGCCATAATGAAATTACTATTGAATACTTGAGTAAAATAAGATAAATTATTAAATTTTGATAAAAAAAAACAATCTGATATTAAGCACTCACTTTGTGTTAATACGCTCATTCTCTCTTCCTGTAAGTAATGGACAAGTAAAAAATTATTACTGTGATTGCTACCATCTTGACAAAAGAGTAAACCCTAAGGGTTAAATTGTTTTGTTAGATATTCTGCATTTCCAGTCAATGTGTAACAACAGCCAAAATCTTGCAATAGACAGCTACTATATGAGTGTGGAATATTGGATTTCTAAAAGCTTAAGTTATTAGCACTTGAAGAATACATTAGTCTTTTAATGTGGGCATTTATAATTCATTCTTTTAATTATCGCCTAAGAGCTAAAAAAAATTAAGTCCTTTACAAAATTATCAATAAAAGAAAAAAATACAGTTGCTATTCAAGAATAGCATTCAATGAGTTTCCTCAGCAGCTGCTTAAAATACAGGATATGATCTTCAATTACTAAGAATCCAAACTAATAATGAAGGAAGTGAAAGAACATGTTTTCAAGTAAAAATAAAGCATGTGTGTCAGAGCATAAACACTTTAACCATAATAATACTTTCAATGAACATGTTACATGAAATACAGTATTTATTGAAAGAACAAAATCACTAATTTGGAGAGGCTATTTTAAGATTGTTACAGGGGACTAAATGGTAATGGAAAAAGTATAATAAAGATTATATATTTATAAAATGATTGTTAAAAGATAAAAACTTCAGTTGCTTGCTAATAAATCTTGCTAATAACCTAAATGCTTATTGCTGCCTGCTAATAAGCAGCATTATCTGAAACACAGATACAAATGAAGCCATCATATCTTAAAAACAGCACAATATCATTAAAACAAATACAATATTTTAAAATAAAACTGAAGATTTTTATGTAAAAACAAAACTGGTATCAATGATGGCTTTCGTCACCCAATCAATGGTAGAATCCAAGATCAAAAAGAGCATATTAATGGGTTTGGGGGGAAATCAGGTTCATGAGAGACAGAAAAGAAGAAGAATCACACATTTGTAAAGACTAGAAGTCTGCACGAAAACATTACTAGAACTGGAAAAAAAAATACCACAGTTAAAATAGCATGTGTGAGGAGGGGGCTGGCCTATGTGGGAGCCATTACACACGAAAACATCTTTCTGATTATATGAGGAGCTGTTGATGTGGGGAAAAGCACAGGTTAAACTGAAGATAACTGAAAAAGCAGATTTAAGTTAAACCCGTATGGCAGAGAGCTAACCAAAAAGAAAGAGTTACTCCAGAAACACTAAGCATAACGTGAGAGCGATCCCAAGGACGACAGAAGACGACACCGGCAGAAACCCACACTTCTGCCCCTTTGGAGCATGAGCAACTCGAATTCTTTTCCTTTTGACTATAACCTTCTTCTTACCTTTTTCAAAACCTGCCTTTTTGGTTCTAGCCACAATGTTTCTTCCTTCATTCAGTTAATCCTTCTTAATAATATTTTTATGATGTGAAGAGTCCTAACTTAGTATCAATTTCAAAGCTACATAAAGTAAAAAGCATACTTTACTACTATTATATGTTGTGTGGGGAAGTCCCAGATGGCTTCAAGAAATGATGAAATCTGAGCTGGGTTTTAAATGATGGCTATGAGCCCACTATGTTGAGTGAATGAGCTGGGCAAGAAGGGCATTTAAACACAGAACAGGTAAGGTAACAGGGCATGGGGATGAAAGAAAAGTTGTTAATGGTATTTCAAAAGATTAGGTGGGTAAGGCAGGGGGTATATGGGAAGTGCACAAGTGAAGAGGGTAAGGCCAGCCTGAATGAGGGACAGCCTGTCACGTCATTCTAAGAAGTGGAACATTTCCCAAAGGGCAGTGGTAATCAAGGATTTTTTAAATCAAGGCATTATGAAAGATGGTATTGGAGGAGGCTAGAGATGCAGGAGGCTGAAGACTGAACACTGGGAAAGTTTAGCAGCATCAAATTAAGTAAGAGATAACAAGGGCTTGAATTAAAGGCAACAGCAGTGAAGATAAAAAGGATGATAGAATGGTGAGCCTTTTAGGAGAACTGAGAGACTTTAGTATTACTTAGATGTAGAAATAAATGGTAGAAAGGAAAGAAGAAATGAGTACTACTCTTGATTCCCAGATAAGGAAGTTATTAAAAATATACAGTATAAGAGGATTAAAAGAGGAAGACCAAGTTTGGTGATGTTCGTAAGTCTGGCTTTGGACTTGAGGTGCCAATGGACAATCCAGATAGAAGTATGCAAAAAAAAAAGTCTAATTCAGAAAAAAGTGGGAGCTAGAAATCATTAACACATAAGTGAGATACGATGCAAGAGAAGATGAGAGACCAGAATAAGCACACCAAACCGGGGAAGACAATCCAAGTAAAGGATCTTGAAGCTAAACATCTACAGAGAACAGGCAGAGGAAAGGAAGTAAAGAAAGAGAATGACCCTTACCCTTCTCTCCCCGCTTCTCTCCCTCCCCCCTCCCCTCTGGTCGCTGTCAGTGTGTTCCTTGTTTCCACGCCTCTGGTCTGTTTGCTCATCTCGTTAAGGAACAGGTATAAATGGCCCATGAATATGGACAACAAGGTGGGGACTGACTTGGAGTGAGCCTGGGTGACGCAGGGCAGGGGAAAGCAATGGGGGAAAATTGGGACAACTGTAATAGAACAATAAAAAAAGAAAAAAGAAAGTCAATAAACTAGAAAGAAAAATAAAAAAGAAAGAATGAGAATTGTTTAAAGTCCTAAAGAGAAAACAAAAGAGGTTGTCACTAAAAATCATTCACTGAAAGTATTTCAAGACTGGTCAATAATTAAATACTGCAGTGAAGGCAAGCAGGGTAAGACCTAAAACTGGCAAATGAATATTAAAGTTAGCAAGTAACTGATGACTTCTTGAAGAACGTTTACCCAGCATGGGGAGAGCAACAGCCAGACTGACTGGGCTGAAGTAAAGACAATTGTGTGTTGGATGCTCTTGATGATGCAGAAAAAGTAAAACTGGTGTGGTAGCTGAAAGGCAGAAAGAGCTGCGAAAAATATTTTTTTAAAGACGAGGAGATCTGAGTGTACAGTGGATCCTTGAACAGCAAAGTCTGAACTTAGATGTTTCACATATATGCACCTTTTGTTAACTGTTTTGAAACTGTATTTTCAATCTGTGGTTGGAAATTGTGTATGCTGTATTTCTAAGATAAGAGGACAAAATCAATAGAGAGAAAAGATACTAAAGAACCAAAATGTGTAAGAAATAGAAGTTAACAGAATTGTAGATTAAAGGACTGGGATTAAAAGCACAGAACAAAAATTAGCTTTAAAGGTGTCTGTATCCATACTTCTTTGTTAAGGGAGATGGACAGAGATAAAGATGGGTAAATTTATGGATATCAGATGGGAAACCAGAAAAAAATATAGGAAGTTCATGTGTGGCTAAATTTCACTGTAAACTGAAAGCAGTCATCTAACAAAAATGGGAAGATTATGATTTTGGATAGAGAACTTGAAGCATGGTAAGGTTTGGCTCTGCTGTCAAGGGGATAAGATAGCTGAATAAAAACGGGTAAAAGCACTGCTCAGCAAAGATGAGAGCTAAGACCACAGTCAGGTCTTAGCAAAGTTATGTATTTTTCTCTAGTATGACCTGGCATCCAACAATGCCTATGCTATTCTTGAGGACAGTAAGAGAGCCCTGGCTGGCATGGCTCAGTGGATTACATGCCGGCCTGAGAGCCAACGGGCTGCCGCTTCGATTCCCAGTCAGGACACACGCCTGGGTTGCAGGCCAGGTCCCCAGCACGGAGTGCACAAGAGGAGGCCACACATTGATGTTTCTCTCCCTCTCTCTCTTCCTCCCTTCCCCTCTCTCTAAAAATAAATAAATAAAATTTTTAAAAAGAAAAAAAAAAAGGTAGTAAGAGGGACTAATAGTAGATTCCCAGTTAGAGAGGTAAAATCCATTGTCATCAGTTGTCATCTATTTCATTAAAATATACCTAAAGAGTAATAACAACATCTTAATTAACTGGAAATTTTCTATTGAAAAGTAAGGTGATAAGATTAATAGAAAAAGGGACCCAGACACTAGAAGTGTCTGTAAAAAAGTGTGTTTAAAAGAACAGGAAATATAAGTAAGGGTGAAATCAGAGCGGAACTCAAACTGCTCTAAATGTCAGTTTCCTAGTCTGTAGAGATAATAAATATCATTTGTTGGAATCAAATTCAAAGAACATATATAAAAGCATCTTCAACAACTGCCTCATAATATTTTTAGAATACACCCAAGGTAGATCAAGCAGCTACAAAAAATATAAATGAAACTTTAAGAAGGAGCTTTAAAATATTTTACTGTGACACATTAAATCGGAAGGGGTTATTTTAAGACTGACATTTGGAAAAATGCAAATATTTGACAGTCTATAAGGCTCTCAAACATAAGGCGCATATTGGTTTATTTACCCTGCAATATGTATTCAGCAGCACCATGTCCTGGCCTCTGCACCCAGCTGACAGTGAAGATGGACTCCCTGCTACCCAGAGCTTACTTTCTAGGAAAAATCTCAGTTGTTCAATAACCCCATCTCAAAGTATTAATCAGTGTACATGATGATCACTTAAAGATAATGAGAATTAGGAATATTATATAATACATAAATAAAAGATATTTTACAAAAAATGTCTTCAAGAAAAGTTTTCACTACTACTTATTTAATCAATCAATCTTGTCCAATGCATATTCACAACAGCCGCTTGATAGGCAAAACAAAATTGAAACATGAGTAGTTCTATCACTTAAAATTCTCTTTGCTTTCCTGGATGGCAAACAGCACACACAATAAACACTTCTCAAATATACTAACCTGGCAGTGCCATCACCTGATGCAGTGAGGATATAGCGATCATCATCTGACCAACAGAGATCGTAAACGATATTGACGTGGCCACACAATTCTCTCATAAAACGTCCAGAAGGAATTTCGTGTACTAATGAAAATAGTCAAAAATTAGTAGGTTTCCAGACAGAGGATCCTCAATACAGTAATATATAAATTCACAGTTTATAATAACCTGTACATAAAGTAAGCAGTGTCTATAAGAATATCACCAAAGATTTTCAGTGTAAAAAAATTTCAAAACCTACTTACAAATAGTTTTTCATTTGCTTTAGACACAAGAATTTACAAATATAAAATTTTGTAATATATTAAAATTAACAATTATTCTCATTTCTCCAAAACAATTTTAATAATCTTTTATAGTCAATTAATTAATCATATAATAAAGAATATTTAAATTGCAATTCACTTCAAGGACTTTACAATTTGGGCTTTTGTTAAAAAGGCATTATTTTACCTGAAAACTGATTAAATTCCAACCAAAATTTTAGTTGAAGAAACAAACAATTTAAACTGTACTACTGTCAAAAAAAACTAATACTAAAATTATAAATATAGTAAGGGAATTAACAGAGACCCTAGCTGATAAATACTGTAGTATTGCTATGTTAATGTATACAATAAAATCATCTAAGACAGTGATTGTCAATCTTTTTCATCTCTTAGCACCTATAAACTAATTACTAAAATTTTGCAACACACCAAAAAATGTATTTTTTGCCAATTTGTAAAAAAAAGAAAGATATAATTTTGATTCATTCACACTGGATGGCTATTGTTGTGTTGGCTGCTGTCATATTTTTATTCGACAATCTAAGGGAAAAGAGATCAGTGCTCCTAAGTAGTCAGGTATTGCGTGTTTTAAAAATTCCTGCAGCACATTGGTTGAACATCGCTGACCTAAGCTGATAGCTTAGAACAAGATTTCCAAGTCTCTACTTCCACCTAGTGGTCAAACCAATTGCCTTTAAAATACTAAGCAATACAGAAGTGCTTCTGGCATTTCTGGCAAAGTAAGGACCTGGAAAAATGTGCACCCTCATAAAAGCAATGAGAACACTGGCAAAAATAGGCAAAAGTAACTTTTTCAGAACTCTGGAAATTAAAGGTTTGCAACAATCTGAGGAGGATTTATTCAAGAAAAATGGCTGACTCTTGGTAAGAACATTGAGGTTTGTGGTATTTTAACTCACCTTGCTCCCTCCCATTCCCCTCTTCCAAGCTCCAAAGTACCCTTTAACACCAACAGCCTTGCAACTACAATGAAAACCAGCAGCCTAGCAGTCACAGGATGGGGCAGAATAGGTCTGAAGCTCCCCCTAAGTCCCATCCCCAAGACGTATCACTATTAGCCATCTGGCAGCTTCCTGAAGGGCTCCCATTCTCCTGGCTTGGCCTTATTTGACCTCACCCTGAGCATGCTCTGTATGAACAGTCCTAGCCCTGGGTACATGTCAAAATGATGTGATAGCTGTCTAAGGCAGTAACAGCAGTTGGGGCTAAGAAGAAGTTGATCAAAAAGCTTAAAAAGAAAAAAAATGGGAATGATATGTCCACAGAGGACTTTGAAAAACTCTACCATATTCCTGGGAATCTAGGACATATGCTGCTGAAAGGATGGGGGGATGCCAAATAATGACCTGAGAGGCCTATCTCTGGCTGACCTGAGGATGCTCTGTGCAAACAGGAAGTGAAGGCCAAGGCTGAAGAACTTAAAGTGCATCTCAATACAACACTCACAGAGCCCCTCAGCAAACTCTGGAAGACCTATTCACTCAAGGCATTAAAAAAAAAAAATCTCTCTCTAACCATTAACTATCCACTAAACTAACCAAGCAGGGACTTCAGTGGCAACACATGACAAAGGCAAAAGACTACAGAATTAGTCCAGGTAAGTCACTAAACAAACTAAACAATATATCCTAGTCCTGGCCATGTACCTCACTTGATTAGAGTGTTGTCCCAATACAACAAGGCCGTGGGTTCAATCTTCAGTCAGGGCACATAAAAGAAGCAACCAATGAATGCATAAATAAGGACAACAACGAAGTGATATGTTTTTCCTCTCTCTCTCTCCCCCCCCTTCTTCTCTCTAAAATCAATAAATAAAAATTGTTTAAAAAAAGATTAAAACAAGAACAACATATCCTGATTGTGTAGATAGAGAGGGGGGTAGAAGGGGAATCTGATTACCAGAGCTGTCACATTTCAGTAATTAAAATATACAGTTTTCAACATAAAGTTATGTAGACATGAAAAAAGCAAAACAGAAAAGTTTGACCATACATAGAAAAAAAATAGTCAATAGAAACTGCTCATGAGGAATCCTTAACATTAGTTTTCCTAGACAAAGACTTTCAATCCACTCATAAACATGTTCAGAGATTTAAAGAAAACAATGTCTCAGGAATTAAGGTGTGAGAATTTCTAACCAATAAAGAGACAGAAATTATTTTTAAAGAAAGACTAAATAGAAATGCTAGAGTTGAAAAGTACCATAACTAAAATAAACAATTCACTGAGAGGGGCTCAATAGCAGATTTGAACAGAAGAATCAAGACTTGAAGACAGGTCACTTGAGATTTTTCAGTCTAAGGGACAGAAAGAAAAAGAATGAAGAAAAACAAATAAAGCTGCAGAGACCTATGGGACACCATCAAGTGTTCCAACACAGAAATGATGAGTCTCTCAAAAAGAGAAGGAATAGAAAGGGACAGAAAGAACATTTGAAGACATAAAGACAAAAATCTTTCTGAATTTGTGAAAAACATTAATCAGCACATCCTACAAGGTAAACAAATTCTAAGGAGATACAGAATAATCAACAATCAAAAAGATTCTTCTGTATGTTAAGATTTAAACAGTACGTAAAGTTAAATTTATAAACCACTTTGAACAAGATTTCTTAATCATAAAGTAGCACATATTTACCAGAGAAATGTTGAAAACGTAAATAAAAATAATTCTTTCACTACTCAAAGACTGAAGTCACTATTAATATTCTACAGTACATTTCCTAAGAATCTCCCCCACCCCCTATATATAGGTATAGTGAATTTTTAAAGTAGCAGGGCTGTAATCAAACACAAATAATTTTTTTTCTTAAAGCTAATATTATTTCATAAGACAGAATATTTATTTAACAAATGCTAATCAAGCCAATTATAAGTCTCTGTTGAAATACAAATCAATGAAGAAATAACTGTTTGAAGCTGAGGAAAGTTCAACAGAATCCAGTGCTCAGGACAGATGCCCATAAGGAGCTGCGGTGAGCTGGTTTTCACCACAAGCAAGAAGTAGGGCAAAGCAGTAAAGCCTCTAAGTCTAGAAGAGTATAATGCTGACTTATACTTTAAAAAGCTCTCTAAAGACAAAGAAATAATTTTTCTTCTTAATACAGTTTCCTTTATTTTTTAAAGGTGATTTGAGAGTGGGTTTTGGTCTCTCTGCTGATTTCACTATCATAATGAGAAGTCTTACTTCAGGGCCTACTGAGTCAAATATGATTGTTCTAATGCATAACAAATTCAAGGGCTTTCATACTTCAAATTATCACTGCTATTGACTGATCACATTAAACTGAAATTCCTCCTGAGATCTATTATTCTTCATGGTTCTAAATTTCTATATTTAAAGTGAAAAATGCTTCAGAAAACCCACCTGCATGTTTTAAAATAATTTACCACCCTTCAGTCTACTTCTGAAAACATATTATATATAAAAGTGTAAAATTCTACTTTTGAAAATATACTGTAAAGGGTAAAATTATTAAAAAAGAACTGTTACTTTACTTGAAGAAATCTATTTAATTTAGTAGTGCTGGGGGGTAATTCAAATTAAAATTCCAATGAATTTTAAAAACCAAAGAATGTCCTCTATAAAGACTTCGGTCAAATTAAACAAACAGGATGAATACTCACAAATAATTGGATATCCATTCCGGCCAGCACAGGCTGCGGCTAATATTCTTCCATTGTGAGAGAAAGACAGACGAAAACATCCTCGTTCTCCTGCATTTAGTGAGAAGAGGTGCTTGTTTGGGATACGGCAAGCCTAAAAAACATAACATTTTAGAAACAAATTAAGAAACGTTAAAATACGAAGCCTAGCTGTTAATTTTAATTACTGTGTTTTTTTAAGTCTCTCTACAATGATGATAAGCAGGATGATGGAAAGCCATAGACTTTCTAAAGAGAAAATCAGTTCTCCATAAAATTAAGTGAATTATACTCCATGTCTAACTAGTACTTAATTCACCTATGAGTAGAAAATTTCAATATCTGATACTCTAAAGCTGCCACTACCATATAGCTTTTATATAACCACACACACACACACACACACACACACACACACACACACAGGTCACACACTTATCCCAAGACAGCAACTAATAATGTGATTTTTGCTGAACCATAAACTTGTCCTAAGACAATAAATGCCCTTTGGGGCCTAGCTCAAGCCCAGGATGTATAACTTTTCATTTTCTTTTTCTCTCTTAAAATAATCATTATTTGTGGCTACCTTCCAAAATGTATCTTCTTTTTAATTTTTTAAAAAATTGTTCCAATACATTTGTCTCCATTTATCCACCACCACTCCCCCCTGCCCCACCCACCTCCCCTCCTCCCCTTGAACCTTCCCCACCTTGCCTTCGTCCATGTGTCCTTCACACCTGTTCCCTGATCTGACCCTTCCCCTTCCCATCCCCACTACCCCCTCCCATCTTCCCTCCCATCCCTATCAGATTCTTCTTTCTTTCAATGTAACTGGTCATATTTTCCTTCCCTGCTTGCTTTGTTGATTAGGTTCCACTTATAGGTGAGATTATATGGTATTTGTCTTTCACCCCCTGGCTTATTTCGCTTAGCATAATGCTCTCCAGTTCCATTCATGCTGTCTCAAAGGGTAGTAGCTCTTTCTTTCTTTCTGCTGCACAGTATTCCATTGTGTAAATGTAGCATAGTTTTTGATCCACACATTTACTGATGGGCACTTAGGTTGCCTCCAGCACTTGGCTATTGTAATTGTGCTGCTATGAACATTGAGGTACATAGGTTCTTCTGAATTGGTGTTTCAGGATTCTTAGGGTATAATCCCAACAGTGGAATCACTGGGTCAAAAGGCAGTTCCAGTTTTTACACCTAAATGTTTTTTCAAAGAAATCGTTCATTTCCTATTGGTTTCCAATTCACTTATTTTATTAAAATTTTCATAATTTTTATGTGTTCATTCCCTATTACCAGATGAAATCAAAACTTTTAATATACTAATACATCTACTGTAGGAGAAATTCAATTACACATATATTGTGTCCTTTTTATATGCCAAGAATGTGGTACTTTATTATACGTCTTTTCATCTATTCATTACAACATCCCCATGAATAACCACCATTACTATACGTAGCTAATAAGGATTATTCAGAGGGTCAAGCCCAGCTTAATGAGCCTGGTCAAAGATTTAGTTCAAGGGCCTGCATGCTAGCCAGGTACCAGGTTTTTCACAAGTAGCATCAAGAATTAGCAACATTATTAGGAGGCAGCATTAGGAGTAGCTAGTTGGAAGGTGAAAAATTGAGTAGACAGTTATTAGGTGACAATAATGCAGCAGACACCATGCTACACATTTTTCCCTTCCATTCTCCATCCAGACAACTTTGAGAAGGAAGAGGTTAACAAGAGGAAAAAACTGAAGGAAAAGTCAAGAGGTTTTATAATCCGTTGCTGCTGCTCCTTGAGTATGAGATGCACATGAGGGAATCGTGGCCTAATCACCCAAGCTAAAGACACTGAAGCCACTACCATTTTTTTCTGGCATTCTCGGGGTTGGACACTGTTCTTAGAAGAGCCAATGGCAGTTTAATATCAATAAGGGCCTCAACATCTCTGACTCTTTCCCTTTCTTTACTTCCTTGTCAGTCACTTAATTATGCTGGTTCATTCTTTCTTCTTTTCCTTTCTTATTTTTCATTTGTGCCACCATTATCCCAAGGTGATATCTCTTTTTCACCTCACATCAATGACTGCAACTTCATCTGGTAGGTTTCTCTCATTCTGATGTAACCTACCTCAGGATCTCCAACATGCCACTGCCAGCATTAACTTGTCCTACAGTATCACGAAGACCATGCTTCTCTCCTACCCCAAACCTTTCACTAATTTCTCACATCCCACACAATCAACTATTAGGCTATCATTCAAGACACCCCACCACGTGGGCCTGCCTAATTTATCACACCACCTTATACAAACTCTGGTTTCCAGCCAGTCAAGTTTTGAGTGCCTGATGAATACAGCAGGTATTTTACTATTTATTTACAACTTTGCCCCCATATGAAATACCTTTACCAAGATGCTTTATAGTTTCAGAAAAATTCTGAGGAGCCCCCTCCAAAAAATTTTGAATATGTGGATATATCCATGGCTATTTATATTAGAAATTAAAATTGATAAATTAAAAAATGTGTTAACTCATTTAAAAAATGAGTTTTTTTTGAAAATCTCTTTAATATCTGGCTTCATAAAAGACAGTTTGATTTCATAGGTGATATCATATATCATTTAACTTCCAGAAAACTTCAGTGTACATGTATGAGAACAAAAACCAAATCATTAAAAAATTATTAAAATCATTATTCTATTATGAGAAAATTTGATTTTACAGTCCCCCTAAAAGGGTCTCAGGACTCCTACAATTCCCAAATCACACTTTGAGAGCTGCTCATCTATACAAGTATTTCCATACCTATGTTTCCTCAAGAATTCTCTGTACACACCTGACAGTGAAGTACAACACAGGTTTCTGTTTCCCCAACAGATGTGAAAGCCTCCAAGGGCACAGTGTAAGTGCCATTCTCCCCATACTATTATGTCTAAAGTATTTAGAATGACATTAAGACGGAGCTGTAAAAAACAGGCCTCAAAAAGACAGTCAAATGTGATGCAAATCACAGAAAATGAGAAGGTCTGGGGAAACAATCATTCTTATGTATATACTAAATGTTTGCATAAAATAAGATCTTACATAAACTTCATTGGTATTGGCTCCAGCAAATAAAATAAACCACTCTCCTCTTTGTGGAAATATGTAAGAGATTTACAAAACTGTATCCAAAATTCTTCTTGCTACTGCAAAATATACTAACCAAGTAAGAAAAATTTAGGAAAAGCTTAAATACCACTCAACTTGTAGTAGAAAAATATACAAGTACATTGCAACAATAAAACGTGATTCAGGAAGAAGTCAGACATTACAGAAAATTTCATGAATCAACTTTTTAAAAATCAACTTTTTAATAATAAGTCAATTAGGAAACATACCTCTTATAGACATCAAAAATTTTTGTATTGTTATGAACTGAATTGTGTACTCAAAAATTCATTTGTTACTGCTCAACCCCAGTACCTCAGAATGTAACAGTATTTGGAGAGAAGTTCTTTAACTAGTTGGTTAAGTTAAAATGAAGCTTTGTTCTTTGTTTCTTTTTGCTTTTTGGGGTTTTGGTTTGTTTGTTTGTTTGTTTGTTTGTTTTCTTAGGGCAGGCCATGATTAAAAGAGGAAAAGACATAGGGGATATACAGGTCAAGGAGAAAAGACCACCTAAAAGGGCACTAAGATGGCAGCCATCTGTCAGCCAAGAAGAAAGGCTTCAGAGTAAACCAACCCTGCCAACCCTTGGTCTTGGGGCTTCCAGCCCACAGAACTACAAGTAAATAAATGTCTGTTATTTAAGTCAAGCAGTCTGCAGTATTTTTTTATGGCAGCTTTAGCAAACTAAAATAACTGCTCACATCTCTAAACAAACAACCTACAGAGTGTTTTTATGCAAATGATAATCATCCCATTATTACTTGTCAAATGAATTATTAGAAAAACAATAACATGGTTAAAAACAAGAATAACTGAGAGTTTTAAATAGCAATCTAGTTACCCCAGGGGCTGCTGGAGTGTTAAATGAGTAAATATCTAAATGAATCCAGTATTATCGAACTTTACCTGCCCAGGCAGTCGTTTCCACTTCACCTCCTCCTTTGAATCTTCTAATCCAGGTTCTGTATCGACTGAACTTGACTCACAGTGTTGTTCACAATACACTGGTTTAGTTTTTTCCTCCTGAACAGCCCTCACAGAACGGTAAGATGGCTTTATCTAAATATATACAGAAAGTGAGAATATTATATGTCATGTAAATTTTTTCTCTTTTCTAGCATAGATGGTTTTTAAAATATTAAAACCAACAATATGGAATGTTTTCAAAAGGTAATCCAGAAAAAATTTTAATTTTATTTGTAAATTATTCTAAATAAGAAGAAAGCTGTTTAAAATTTTCCTGTAACCAAAAAGCCTTAAGAAGTTAGGAGAAAAAAACAGAACTCGAATGGTAACATGAAATTGCTTTAATAACTCTGCCCATTTATTTCTATCTCTTCATGAATACCTACCAGATATTATGTCACAGCTCTGATGTACCACAGTATCTCTGGCTTTAATATCACAAAACTTATATTAAGATCTAAAATTTTTTAAATCTTTCATTTCTTAAAAATAGATTTAGCTGTATCCATATCAATGCAAACCAACTCTGCAATCACAGTTTATAATATCAACTACAGAATATGCGACTGACCTGAAATATAGCAAATAAGACTGAAAATGAGGTGAAACTTTTGCTAACATCAATGTAATTTTAAACTATGGGAAATAACAGTAAAAATCTTACTGGTTATTTAAATAATATTGTGAAAAATATGCCTGTAAATGATGTCTACAAACTATCAGACCAAATCTATCCTGCTGACTGTTCTTGTAAATATGAGAACACATTTTCATATTGTTTTGTTATCATCTACATGTCTATATAGCTACTTTCACACTACAAAGTTGAGTAATTGTAACAGACTGTATAGCTTGAAAAGCTTAAAATATTAGCTATCTAATCTTTTATGAACAGTATTTATCAGCTCCTGTTTTACATGGTTCTTTTATCTTTAATATTTTAAAAAACAGTATTATTTTAAAACATTTTCCCTAATGATGAAATCTGTATTTATTATTTAAAATTCATTTAAATATCTTTTAAGTATCAGCTATTACAGGATCAACACATAATCTCTGAAGGTAACTTTCTATTCTACAAATCTATTACAATTTATTCTACAAATCTATTAAAATAATTCTAGAGATCTTGTCTTTTTAGAACTGGAAAACATGTCACCATGTAATCTAAACAAAAGAGGATATATATTTACATGTGCTATTAACTTACACATTCTGGAACTTTCAATCCTCTTACAGTTACGTACAATGTTGATGGATAACGATTTCTTGAACATTTTGACCACCATTCAAAAACCTCAACAACATTTAAGTCAGATCGTGGCTTAGTAGGTGGGTAGTAGAGCTGCAAGCGAAGTTTTGAATTGATGTTTGCATTTCCATTGGCTCCTAGAAGCTTAAAAGAAGAATTCAAATAAAATGTTATCTTCATTGAAAATAAATAAATCCAATAACACAATAATACATAGTCAAAGACTCATTTTAAAAAGATTAATATGGCATGCCGAAATTCCTTCGATTATAAAGCAAAGAACTCTGACATAGTTGGTTAACCACAGTTCAAAATCACTTTGACAAATAGGTAACCCAAATGACTTTTTAAATATTTTCCTGATAGCTGTCTTTTTGCCTATACAACTTCAGATTGTTGGTAAAGCATTTACATTTCTGTGTAGCTGTTACCTTGCACACAGAAGGTGATCAATATACCTTTGTTTGAGATAATGATGATAAAGATCAAATGCATATTATTTAAACACAGAAACAAACTTTCTATCTGTTTAGTATCAGTATTTTTTTTATCCTTACTCAAGGACATGTCCATTGATTTCAGAAAGAGGAGAAGGGAGGGAGCAAGAGAGGGAGAGAAGCATTGATGTGAGAGAGACACCAATTGGCTGCCTCTTGAACACACGCCAACTAGGAACCAAACCCACAACTTTGGCATGTGCTTTGACTGGGAATCGAATCCATGGCCTTTCAATTTACTGGATGACACGCCAACTAACTAAACCACACCAGCCAAGGCTAGTATCAGTATTTTTATAATTTTTAAAATTTTATGGTTTCAATTTTTAAAAAGTCAAAATCGTTTTCAAATGGTAATTAACATGATTAAACTCATTCAATACATTCATTGTATTTAAGAAACCTTTTAGTGTACCTTCTTAAAAAGGTCTATTTAATAAAAAAAAAAAAATTAAACAACTTAAGATTAAGCTAAGTAAATGGAGGTTCTTAAGAGGAAAAAAAAAATCTCACCAAATCAAAATAGGTCCTTTTTCACTAGACTATGACTCTAAGTATAATAGAAAAAGTTTTTGTTAACCTTTATGTCCCCTACAAACTAGCAAAGACAGTTGGGAGCTTTTGCAGCAATTGAAGTAGAAGATGAATTGACAATGAGAAGACTAGAGATTGAGTGCAGGGAACAAATTCAGCAACTGGTACTGACTGATGCAAATTGAAAAGTAAAACAGGGGAAGAGACAAGAAAGATTTGAAGACAGTGCTAACAGAACTTTCTGTGATGATAGAGATGCACTGTATTTGTGCTATCCAATGCAGTATCCAATAGTCACTTATGGCTAGTGAGCACTTGAAGTGTGACTGGTGCAACTGTGGAACTGAATTTATAATTATACTTAATTTTAATTAATTAATTTGAAGTCAAATAATCACATGTGACTGTGGCTCCCAAAATGGACATTGCAAATTTATGGCTGTAAATGAAGAGCCCGGGCAGATGGTAATGATTCAAGTATCAGTCAAAGAAGAGGTGATGATTTAGGTAGGATGTTCAGTTCAGAGGGAGTCAGAGGTATCTGTGGGTCATCTGAGTTGAAATGCTTGATATTTGAAGCAGAGGCAAGAAAATTGGCTCTAAGGAAAGTGGAATAAAGATGAAACCAAGTGTAAGGTTGATATTAGGAAGGTAAATGGAAGACCATGAAGGAATCTGAAGGAACAGTATAGGGAAAATAAAGGGTGGTATCAAGAAAAACAAGATAACAGAATTTCAAGAGTGATATGTTACATGAGTATAGATGAGATAAAAAAACTAAAAAATGTTCAATAATTTAGCAAATCATTAGTGATATGTTGGGAGAAGCTTTAGTGGCTTAGGCCACTAAACGCAGATTGCAGTGTATGCAGAAATAATGCAATTGGCAAACATAGCCCATCTTTTCCCTACCCCTTTAGGGAATGTTGTAAAGTCACTGGAGATCATAAGCTGAGGGGTGGCCTTATGGTACAGAGGGGTAAAGAGCAGTTTCAACTTGACTAATAGAAATGTTCAGTCATTAAATATTAAGCACACAAGACTCCCTTCATAAACCCTATTACTATCTGCTTATCATAAGAAATTATCATTTTAAGGAGATATTAGTCTTCAGTTTCTAAATCATACTTCCCATAAGCTTTAATATTCAGCAGGAAATCTAATATGCTAACAACTAAGATCCTGTTGTATGGTTACAAATTATACAGGTAGAGCAAAAGCAGGTTTACAGATGTAAGGGAAACATGGTTTATTCTTATGTTATTATTTATTATTGTATTTTCCGTATGGACAACTGTAAACCTATTTTTGCCTCACCCTGTACAACACAGAATTTTAAATAAGGCTGTATTATTTTATAATTTATAATTATATATTAATAATATATTTATTATTAATACACCAATAATATTAATTGTTGATATATATTAATACATAATATATGTTAGCATAAGTATTACATTAATGTAATTTTTATTATTGAGGTACTGATATTACTATTAATGATATATTGATATATTACATAATTATAATATATAATTTATAATGTTTAAAAGGCTATATATATATGTGCTAAAAGAACTGAAAGTGCCTGTAGCTGAGAATTATGATAAAGTCTCATAAATTTATAGCTGGACAAGGTTCCTTTGGGGTTCATATGGACCACTATAATAACTTTACGATTATCGAGGACATTCCTAAAACCAATGGTATAGGTATCAAAACATTAAAATTTTACTATGATTCTTGACACTTTATCAAAGATGGATTTTTTTTCCTAGTCACTGTTTCCACATATTTATTAATTCTCTCAATAGATATTCATTAAATACGTTATTTGCTGGGAGCTGGTGATATTATGAAATACAGTGTCAAGAGAGTGATATATATTAAATGCAAAGAGATGTACTGAAATAAAAATTTAAAATGTTTAACAAATTTGCCATAAAGAAGGCACTACAGGCTTTGAAAAGCTTACAGTCTCATGAGGGAGGTTAAGTGTTACTATAGAAGAAGCACATGGAGTATCTTACCCTCTATAGGGATGGAGCCGGGAGAACTCCTGATTGCTATTTCTGTCAATGGTATGTAATAGATAAATAAAAATCTATATGACATTTAAAGGCAAAAATACTATGAGATATAGTATTATTTCCACAGGGCAGCTTATAGGAAATACAGAAGTTCTGCACAAACCTTAGCATTAAAAGGAATGAAAGAAATCTTTAATAAGACCATAAGAAGGCAATGCTTACTGTGTGAAAGTGGCCTTTTTAGGGTTTTGATGTTGTTTTGTTTTTTTTTTCTTTTTCCCCCTCTAATTCAGTATAGAGAGGTACAGAAATAACGGGTTACAAAAGGGTGATTTTAAAAGGTACGCTGGACCAGGTGATTCCCAAGTTCACTGTAGAATTACTTCTCATCACTGCCGACCTGGCTGATATTTAGCAGTCAGACTGCACCTCTTCCAAAGCCTCTCTCTAACCCCCAACATGGATTGAGTGACTTACCTGGGTTTTCAGAGCATCTACTCCATGGCAAGTAGACATGCAAGTAATATGTTTACATAGAAACTGAACTGGAGGGCAAGAACAATGTCTAATATATCTAAGAATAAATATGAATATTTATAATGGCAGTGCCTGGCATTTCATAGATACAAATATTTGTTGAATAGATGGATATACAAAAGGAAAAGTTTTATAATAAGAGAGTACAAAATAGGTTAATTACTCAAGACTTTTTGTAACTCAAATTTATGTTTGAAGTCAGAATACCAGAAATAAAAAAATTATAAAATTAAAATTTTTACAAACATTGATCTTTCCATGCCTTTTATCTGAGCTGAAATATCCTAAAGACATCATTTTATACATAGACTACTGCAAGAATTTCCTACCTTGACCTTCCAGTGTACATATTTGCACCCTCTCTAATCCATTCTCCACCTAGCAAAAGTAATCTTTCTAGAATATAAATCAGTTTATTATAGCTCTGTTTCAAATTCCATAAACCCTCCCACTGTTCTTTAAAAATCCTACAATGGCTTTCTGTGGTTGTAATGGCTCAGAAGGCCCTGTATAATCAAGACACTGTTTACCCTCAGCAACCCCTTCAGGGACCCATCCCCCCCCAGACTCTGTCCTCCAGTACCGGCGCCCTTCTTTCGGCTGTGTACAGCAGGCCTGCAAATAATATGTCATTAAACATCCTTTAGTTGTAACATGGTAAGATGCCATAGGAACTTAACTCTTGTTTACATCAATTATCCTATGATAAAATGGATTTCATTATATACATCATTTCGCTTAAAGTTGCAGAACCTACAGGCAATATTGAGGACTTACTGTATACCTTATTACTTACAACATTAAGATCTTTGTATATACGTACCCTCGTAGAACTGTCTTTTCACCACTGCTACCATCTAGCTAACACTCAAGTTCAATGTCTCTTCCTGACCCCACAGGCTGTTTTCATCATCCACTCTATAACTGTTCACAGTATGTATAAAGATTATAATAAGTGAATAACTGTGTTATCAATTGTTTTGTGTGTTTTCCTTGCTAGAATATGAGGTCCACGAGGCCAAGGAATTTGTCTTCTTTGTTCACTGACTAGAACAGTGACTGGCATACAGAAAAGGTTTAATATTTGTTAAGATGAATAAATGACAGCAGGGTTCTGTCTGTCTCTTTCAATGCTGGATCTTTCGGGCCAAATGGCATACCTGGCACAACCCAGGCACTCAATGAATGTTTAAGAACCTGAATGAGTATTGCTGAAGCTTGAATTAATGACTCTCTACCACTGCAATATTACGTCGGATCATAACTCCTTGTATGAAACCAAATTGAATTTGAACAAAGCAGTTGATCAGATTTGAAGATTATTTTAAAAGTGTTTAAAACAGATGAAAAACATACCTTGAGAAACGCCCAAGCAATTTTTCGAAAGCCACATTCTTGGTTTCGAATTTCAGAGTTATTCCTAATCTCATCCATGCTTAAGAAATCAAGAATCTGTAAATAAATATTTTAAAAAATTACTTCACAGAAGACTAGGCTTCCTAAATTTTAGTACTTTCTAATAATATATTATGAAAATTAAAAAATCATTTGTTTTCTTAAAAGTTGTCCTTGTAGGGAGGAAAAAAATTTTTATCTAATGTCATTAACCTTTAAGTTAATTCATACTGTTAGTGAGGGTCCATTTTTTGACCACTTTTTTATTAATAAATCTTTTATTAAGATTTTTTTAAAATCCAAGACAAAAACAACTAATTACCTCAAATATAGTCTAGGCACAAACACACCAATCATAGAATACTTAAACTTTGGTAATTTTTTTAATGTATGAGAGTAGACTTTGGAAGACTGTTTGTTTAAAAACTCAGGGCCTTACTTATCTCTGGGTCCTTCCTTGGATCATCTTTGTGAAGTTGTGGATTTTCTCTTTGTATATAAGTTGTAATTAGGCTTCTCAAGAAAATTTCTTTCACATCTCCCTTCTGTCTAGATGTCAAAGCTCATAAATTTATAACCAGCCTTCCACAGAGACTAAATGTATTCTAGGAACTTATCAACGATTTTCCTTTTGAACTTCTGTTGTTTATCGAAAGTTTAGCTGAGGTAACAAATGTTATAATTTGCTTAAAATTGGAGTAACTGAGAAAAATCACTTTACACTCCAAAAAAATCACTCTACACTTGATTTCCTTTGCAATAAAAAATTAGAATAGCATGTCAGCTCAAAGGCCATATACTCCATAAAATTTTTCCTAACTGCACGGACCCTCCACTAACCCTTCACATCTAAGTTTTAACTTCATTCGGTTATACATTACATTGTATTAGTCAAGTGATCTGTGTATGCTCACCTTAATTTCTCCTAGTAGTGTACAAATTCTTAGAAAGTCTAATATTGTTAAATGAGTTTGTACTTCATGAATGGGTTAAGAATGGAGAATTACATAGATATACATTAAATTCAATATTTCAGTTAATAGTCATGGCATTGTTGTAAGGATTAAATAATAGAGTAAACCCAAAGGCTAACTACTTATACTAGTAAATGCTCAACAAATATGCTATTACTTGTCTCTCTTACTTGTATCTCCATTGCTTATTACAAACACTAACTAAAAGAAATTAAATTTTCATGCTACTTGGTTGTATATTGAACTACTAAAAACAATAGCTTTGCAATTGGCCCTCTGTATCTGTGGGTTCCACATCTGAAGATTCAACTAACCATACATCACACATATTTTTTTAAAAATCCCCAAAAGTTTCCAAAGTAAAATTTGAATTTGCCATGCATGGAAAACTATGCTGAATCAACGTGAATGGAGTGATGTGTAGACATACCCTGCTGCAGCCTATATGCAAATATAAGTCATATGCAAATACTGTGCCATTTTATATAAAGGACTTCAGTACCCACAGGTTTTGGTATCTGCAGAGGACCTTGGAACCAATCCCCCTGTACATACTGAAGGATGACTGTAATAACTAAAATTTAGTTTAAATTGCTCTATTCAATTCATACCTCAAAGAACAGGATGACTTTAGGGCTCTCATCAAAATCTCGAAGCAAATAGGGAAAGTTTTCATTAAATATAATTTGTTCTTCCCACTCTGGAAGCCTTGATTTTAACTGTTTAAAATCATATGGCTGGGTCATAATAGGAAGAATATAATCCACATTGTCTTTTTCAAAGAAAGATGAAACAGGCCGTTCACTGCTAAAAAAAAGATATTTCTATTAACACAATTCTTTATAAATCTGAGAATGTGAGAAAAAATAAAAAATATGATGTTCAAGGCGAGGCAACTAGAAATAATGAATAGCTTTGAAACATAAACAAAAATTACTTTGATTGTCCATCTAGAAAATGATAAATTTTATGAGACTTAAAAGTGGTGGTACTTCATTTTCCATTTACATATATCAGCGGGTTTCATAGAATTATTTTATTATAGAAATATATAGTAAGAGGTATGATAATACTTTCAGCATACAAAGCTGGAATAAAGTAACTCCTTCAGCATCTTAAATGAGTCGGTCATAAAATAGTACAGTACATTTAAATAAGAAAATGAGCTCAACAGAACTGTAAACTTTTCAAGGTGTATAGTATTTTCTTTGTATGCCCTAAGACAACTGAATAAATGAATGACTTTTTGGATAATCCTCATGTTTCTCATCCTTGCCATCTTTCCAAGAGGATTTTTTTTTCCTAGTTTAATTGTTTATTTTATTGTACTTTTTATTTGGGCCTTCAAGTATGTAGCTATGGAAGTAATAGTAGGAAAAAAATTAAATTCAAAATTCATTTACCTCACCTGAGGCCCAGGTAACAGATTAACTTCAAAACAAAAATATGAAGTTAGATAACTAATGCATTTATAATGCAAGACAAGATGATTTACAATGCTAGCTTAATGCCATAAATTAGTCATTAAGCTTGGCAGAAACTCCCTCAACTCCCCTCCACTTAATATGAATCACTAAATTAAAAGATGCTCTTCATTTCTTCTATAAAACATACTGATCAGTATCAGTGGTTGGTGAACATCTACAACTAGTAAATTTTTCTCCAATACAAATCCATAGCCCTACTCGCATTAACTTTCAATGGCAGAATAGAGAACTTCTACTGTAGACATTTTCAATTCAAGGGTTGGCTGTGCAATTAAAAAAATTACCTATCATCTTTCTTGACGTACTGACCAGTCTTCTCATCAACCACATGAATTTTTACCATTGGGTGAGATATCATAAAATCTGACTTAAGTCGATCAGTTCGGTGGATGTAAACTCCCAGGACAAGGTCATCGTCAAGCAAACATTTGGGATAAACTGGACTATCTCGACCTGTTATTTCCTGAACACCATCATCACCATCAGTGTCTTCATTATCATCTGAAGCTAAAAGCATGGAAGAAAATAAACATTCTAATTAACTGTTCCCACAACAACATACTCAGCAATATAAATTAAATTTTGATATAACTTAATCTTTGTGATTCATGGTTATTTTTCTTTGTTAAGAAAGTAACTTCAAGGAAAGAGCCAGATACCGGCAGACTTAACCTTCTAAGAGTAAAACACTGTACTTATTAATGTATTAAAATAAGGAATCTTTCTTATTTTTCCTAACAAGGACAAACAATGAAAGAAAAAGAGAACAAAGAAAAAAGTAATTTTATCTAGGTATTTCCTAAGTGGAATACATATACTCAATTCATTTATATAATTTATGTTCTGGGCAGGATGCAGTAAGATGTAGCAGGTCAATGCTTCTGGTAACAAAGACCTGAAAAGCCAAATTACGAAAGGATTTTTTTTAAATATCAGTGAAGTGCAGAAACAATGTATAGTAGATGGACTAAAATTCTAGATAAGGAGAATCATTCAGAGATAAGCTATAGAATGACAGCTGTTGCATCCTCCGGGGACATTTGCTGATTCAGGGTATGGGCTGAGGGTCAGTTTTTGGCCCAGGCAAGTGGTCACTACCAGGTGAAAGAGGAATGAGAAAAACTTTCACTGGTTGCATGGGGCTACAGCAATACAATTGGAGTTTTGAGGGATCTCAATCACATAAGCCAATTTGCCTCACAAAACTGAATTCTGAGGCTATGTGAGAGGCTAAAGAGTGAGTGAATCTTCCAGTCTTTTGGTACTGGGAAACAATGACCAGCCCGGGAGAAGGGCCTGATGTAAAACAGGCAGAGATGAAGCCCTCGAGAGCCTGGTCAATTTACACCTACTGCCACTTTTCACCTGGGGCCACTTGTCGATTCTAGGCGCAGTTAGAGGTTGAGAATCCAGGTATGGCCCCTGGCAGAAGGCCCCTACTGGGTGACAGGGAAACCGGCAGAGATTTTGGCATTCACACAGGGCTGGAGTGACATAACTGGGGACTTGGAGGGCCTCAAACACATGGCCAGTCTCCCCCTCCAGGCATTGCCAAATTCTGAAGCTGCATGGGGCAGAAAGCTAATGTACTACGCTGAAAACCTCTGAAGGGCAGAACTCAACCTCCCATAGTCTCTTAGGGCTGATGAAATAAATATCTGTTAGGGTCTCAATTTATAAAACACCTGAAAAGCCACATATTAGGAACAGGACAAATCAGAGACAGAATCATACCAAAACTACAACCTAGCCCCTAATGCAGTTCAATTCCTCATTGGTTGAAACTGAAATCTGTTGCCCATCTACCTGCCTAAGAGAACAAAAAGGAAATCTGTTCTGACAGAAGAAAAATATCATCTGGGGCCTGTAACATTCTATATATAATGTACAGCATACAATAAAAATAATTACTAGACATAAAAGGGGCAAGACTATATGACCAATAACCAAGAGAAAAACCAAAACCAGAAAACAGAAGCTGACCCACAGATGATCCCGACTGGATTATCACACAAGGACTTTTTTTTTAATCCTCATCCGTGAACATGCTTATTGATGTTAGAGAGAGGGGGCGGGAAAGAGAGGGAGAGAAATATCGATGTGAGACAGAAACATCAATCAGTTGCCTCCAGTATGCACCCCAACCAGGACTGAACTTGCAACCTAGACATGTGTCCTGACGGGGGATCAAACCCACGACCTTCTGTCTTATGAGCTGACGCTCCAACCAACTGAGCCACATTGGCCAAGGCAGCACACAGAGACATTTAATAACTGTGATTAATATTCTCAAAAAAATAAAGGGGAAGATGAAAAAACTAATTTCAAAAGTGAAGATTTTCTACAGAGAATTGGAATTCTAACCTCCAATATGATACCATTAAGAGGTGGGGCTTTGGGAGGTGACTAAATCGTGAGGTTGGAGCCCTCATGAATGGGATTACTGCCCTTGTTTATAAAATAGACCTAGAGAGCTCCCTTGCCCCTCCTACCATGGGAGGTTACAGTGAGAAGACACCAGTCTACAATCAGGGAGTGGGCCATCACCAGACCCCCAATCTATGCATGCCTGATCTTGGACTTCCCAACCTCCAGAACTATGAGAAATAGATGTTTATTGTTTAAGCCATCCAATCTCTGGTATTTTCTTATAGCTGCCTGAACAGACTAGGACAATGTAAGTGTCAATTTGACAGCAAGATATAACAATCCTAAACATGCATATATTCATTAACATAGCTTCAAAACATATAAAGAAAAAAGCTAACAAATAAAACAGAGAAACCCAAAATCATAGTGGAAATTTTAATATATGACTCAGTAGCTGATAGAGTAAGCAGATCAAAAAAAAAGTCTAAGATCTGCCGGACACATTAAATTTAATCTAACTTACATACATAGGACCTGGCACACAATGGCATCGGAATTCACATTCTTTTCAAGTGCACATGGAATATTTACTAAATTGACCATAAACTGGTCATAAAGAAAGCCTCAAAAAAATCAAAAGGCTGAAATTCAAAATGTTCTCTGACCACAATGGCAGACAGACACCAAAACAAAAAGATAATTAGAAAAACTACCTACTGCCTGAGACTAAACAATATACTTTTAAATTATCCATGACAAAGAAAGTAAAATGTAATTCATAACATATTTTTACTCAATGATAATGAAAATACAGCATTCAAGAATGTGTAAATAAAATAGTGCTTAGATAGAAATTTAAAGTCTTATAATGCTACTTTTTGTCATTATTATGTCCTATTTGGAACTGTTTTCTCGAGTGAATATGAAATCCCCCCACCTCATGCATAGTTGGAAACTGAAAATTAAGAATAAGAAAATGTTACCATATTTAGTGTGAGAAAAAGAAAGAGACCAATCATCTTTTTTTAATGTAACAATTCTTCTCATTATTAAAATAGCATATACGCATTATAGAAATTTAAAGTCTTAAATGCATATAAAGAATGAACGAAATCTCATAATACCCATCTTATAAAGCTAGAAAAAAACAGCAAATCAAACCCAAAGAAAGTAGGAAAGAAGGAAATAATATAGATAGAATAACTAAAATAATACACAATGTACAACAGACAGAATCAGAGCTAAGAAGTTTGGTTCTCTGAAAAGATTCATAAATTGAAAATCCCTAATATTTACTATTAGGGACTAATCAAGAAATCAAGAGAAAACAAAGTACCAATATCAAGGGGCATCCTTTCAGATGAAAATGAAAAATCTGAATTACATGGACAAAATCTTCAAAATATACTATCAAAGCTGATAAAAGAAAATTGAAGAATCAAACATTTATTTTAAAACTAAATCTAATTTAAAATTCTCCCTGGAAAGAAAACCTCAGCCTAAAAAGCTTCATTAGTAAATTCTTTCAAACAATTAATAAAGAAGTAACACCACTTTATACAATACTTCCAGATAAATGAGAGGGAACATTTTCCAACTGCTTCTGAGACCAACACCTTGATATCAAAAACTCTGGGTATTTCAAGAATGGAAAAGTACAAACCATTCTCTCACATGACCAAAGATACAAAAAAGCTAAGCAAAGTGTCAGCAAATCAAATTCAACACATTTTTAAAAAAGAGATTAACACATCACAACCAAGTGTATCACCCACTCCTACTGGGAACACAAGGATGCCTTAAAATTCAAATAACAATCACATTAATAGAAAAAAGGGTGAAAATTTATATAATTATGTTGATGCAGAAAAAGCACCTGATAAACTTCAGTATCCATTATAAAAAACATCATTACCAGATGATATGATTGTGACTGTAGAAATTCAAAACAATCTATAAATAAACTCTTAGTAGTAATAAATGAATTTAGCAAGAAACTGAATATAATGTTAACAATTTTTAAATCAATTACATTTATACATTCATATATCAGTAACATACAAATACTGGGTTGGTCAAAGCGTTCGTTTGTTTTTTTCTGTAAGATGACTCTAGCAGCACTTATTTGCCTTTAACTTCATTTGAAACAATTCTGTTAAGATTGTATTGTAAGAGCTGTCATATCAGCGGTGCATTTTAAAAAAATATCAAAATTGGTGAATTTTTGTGTAGCCATTTTAATATTGAAGATGGAAGAAAATAAGCAACATTTTTGGCATATTACACTTTATTATTTCAAGAAAGGTAAAAACACAACTGTAATGCAAAAATAGACTTGTGCAGTGTATGGAAAAGGTGCTGTGACCAATGGAATGTGTCAAAAGTGGTTTGCAAAGTTTCATGCTAGAGATTTTCTTGCGGGACGATGCTCCATGGTTGGGTGGACCAGCTGAAACTGACAAGGATCAAATCAAGACATGAATTGAGAACAATCAACATTATACCATGAGGGAGATAGTAAACATACTCAAAATATCCAAATCAATAAAGCTATTGGTGAAAATTAAAAATGTGTCTCTTATTTTATGGGGGAAAAAATCCTTACGGGCTTTTTGGCCAACAAAAGAAAACAAAATTTTTTTTTCAAATGCCATCCATGATAGCATTAAGAGACCCCAAATACATAGAAATAAATCTAAGAAGAGACTCTGCTGAAAGTTACAATATTATGAAGATAAGCTGAAGTGTAAATAAATGGAGTTGCACGCCAATTTCATGGATAGCAATAATCATGCCAGTATTCTGTAAAGATATCAAGTCTACTTAGAGTTGTTATATTGTAGATCTCTTTAGATTCACCCAACCTGGATCAAAATCATGAATAGGGAAAGAGAAGGAGGAGAGAGAATCGAGAAGCTGCCTCTAAAATTCATATGGAAATGCAATGGGTAAAATATAGCTCAGGCAATGGTGAAGAAGGAAAAAGTTAGAGTACTTACACTACCAAACCACAAAACCCATTATAAAGCTATGGTAATTAAACTTGGTGGTGTTGGTACAGTCTAGTGTAACAGAACAGAGACTACAGAAATGGATCTACAGAAATGGATCTCTATACATACTCATGATATTTATGGTAAAAGTGACACTGCAATATTGGGGGAAAGGATCCTCTCTTCAGTAAATGGTACTAGGTCAATTATTTAGTCACATGGGGAAAAAAAGAGTCTTCACCACTAACTCTCACTATACACCAAATTAATTCCAGATGAACTGCAGAGATCAATGTGAAAAGTAAAACAAAAAACTTTTAGAATATATACAAAGACATCTTCAGAACTTGGGAGATTTCATAAATCACAGAAAGCACTTACTATCGAAGGAAAAATGGATAAATTGAGCTACATAAAATTTCAAAATTCTATTTTCAAATGATTCAATAAGAGAAAAATAAAACAACCCAGAGTGGAAGGATATTTGCAATATATATGTGTGAATCTATTTATATATGAGAAAAGACCGATGTCTGGAAATATAAAATGTTCCTACAAATTAATAAAAAGACAGACAATTCCATTTCTTAAAAAACATACACTGAAGACTTGACCAAACTTACCTATGAAAAAATCCAAGTAGTTAATAAACTTGAAGAATATGCTCATCACTAGCTACCACGGAAATCAAATTACAGTCAAAATGAAATATACACAACTAAAAATGGATAACATTTTTAAATAGTGACAACATAAATGTTGTACAGCAATGGAGTCTCTCAAATACTGCTAGTATCAATTGGTAAACCAATTCCAAAAAATGAGAAGTGCCTATTAAAGTGAAAAATACACATGATCTATAGCCTACTCCTAAAACTATGCTGAATAAAATTGTATACATATGCTTGCCAAAAGATGTGGCAATTCATTACAGTTTTACTTCTAATCACCCAAAGCTAGAACCAACTCAAATGCCCATGAATATAACAGGTAAATTAATTGTGGTACATTTATACAATGGATATCTATACAGTACAAAAACAGAAGTGATAATGAGTAAGTTTAACTGCATGCAATAATAGTATAAATCTCACAAAAATAATTTTGAGTGAAAAAAGCCAGACACCAAAGAGCATAGTATTTATAATTCTATTTATATGAAAGTAGAAAAGCTGGCAAAAATAAACTGTGTTAGATTCAAGACGGTGTCTACTTCTGAAGGGGAATGAACTGGAAAAGAACTTGAGGGGACTTCTTGGTGCTAATGATGTCCTGTTTTTTGATTTGGATGACAATTTTATAGGCATGTTTAATTTGTGAAAATTCACTACATAGCATACTTATAATATATACATGTTTCTAAAATTTAATTACAGAAACAGCCAAACATCAATTGCATAATTCAATGAATAAGTATCATAAATTCTAAAATTGCCTATTTCAGTCCCAATTTTTGGCTAATTAAATGGAAACTGAAAATAAACAAACAAAAAAAAGGACATAAGAAGTAGAAAAAAGACAAGAGTAATAAATAATGAAAAACAAGAAGAAAGACATGAATGAAGAGAAAAATTGAAAGCCAGAGGCAAAAAGGAAAAGGGAGAAGCAGGACAAAAGCTTACTTAGGCTGAGGACTTAGAAAAGCACCATGTCTAACAGAGCCATGCAGCCTAATCATCTCAAACGTTTATTGGCTATTGGCCATTTATTGCTGTCAACAACTACAGGTCTGTATTCTTTAGGGTTCTAAACTCAATGGTAGAAAGAAGAAATCTTTTATGCTATAATAGCAACTTCAAAGTTAATGTCATTCTAGAGTTGAATTAAATTAAGTCAGGGATTAGAGATGACTCAAGTAATACTAACTCAAGCAACACTAACTTATCACAGAAAGTTATCGTCACAAATAAATGACTGTTTCAATCTAGATGATACCAAGAACAAGTACCAAATATTATATATTAAATTTTTTTATTACATCCTTTGGGGCTAATTCTCTTTAGTATTAAAGAATGGAAGTCCAAAATCAAGTTATTTCTATTAAGATCACACTTTTCATTTAATGTGGATAACAAACCTGCTTTAGGCTTCTTTTTCTTTTTTTTTGGTTTGGATTTTGTGTCATCTTGCACGCTGTCTTCTACATTTTGTTCCACCGAGGTTATTTCATCATCTTGATTATCTGAAGTAACTGTTCCAACGAGACCTTCCTTCTTTTCACCTTCAACTGTGTCATGAAAGGTCAATGTACTGCAAATACAACCCAAGTACAAGTCATTACAAATATATTATTATTATTATTCATGGTGCAGCAAAGTGAAAAGTGAATAGAAGCAAGGATAATCCTAAAATCAGTATTATCTCCAGATAGGAGATATGTTTTCTTTTGCACTAAAATGGTTAGCTGTCAAGCTAGGTATTACAGGCATTATTTTATACTTGGTGATGAGCTATATATCCAATGAGCCAAATTAAACTGAGCTCTAAACTCCAGGGAAAAATAAAATTGTATCTTATGACCAGTGGATCTGCTTTTACATAGAGTTGATCAAAAGCTTCCTTGCCCTGCTGCCAAATGAATGACCAAACTTCTAATTTACTTTATTTAAAAGCGAAAAATGTGTTCTAAGTTTGTTCTGTTTTCAAAAGGCTTCAGATACTCAACTTTCAATTTCTAGGTGAGAATTAATTGCTCAGGTTTTTCAGTGGATGGTGTGATACTACATTTTCAGCAGGCTATTATTAAAATTAAAATTTGCATCACATTAACTAATAAATGGTGAAGGGGTAGCATCTCAGAAACACACATACTTATAGCAAGAAACCAACCTATTAAAGTTTGTAATTTATCAAGTAAAAAACCTACATCTAAATAATCAAAATTTGACTTCAAATATATAGGGTCATATTTCAAAAAAAAAGAGATAAAAAGAATAGAGAAATATTTCAAATTAGCCATCTCAGAAAGCCGTATTTTATCATGTCATCAGGTCCTAGTGCTTAAAGAGAGTAACACCCTTTGCATGTCACTGTCATGTAAGTCATGGTTTTACTTAAGATTCATAAACTACACTTATTTAATAGTAAGTATGGCTTCCCAATTCATATGGTAGCTATGAGAAGAGGCTTTATAATATCCTGGGGTGAACAGCCTCTAAGGTGGGCCCCAATAATCCCTGCCTCCCAGCATTCGTAGCTTTGTGTAATCACCTTCCCCTGATACTTCTAATAGACAAGACTATAACAAAAGTTAATAGATGCTACAAGTAAGATTATGTTCCAAAAAGACTATGAATGCTCTCGCTCGCGCTCTCTCAACCCTTGCTCTGGAGAAGCAAGTGCCCACCATTCTGAGTAGTCCATGATAAGAGGTCCATATAGCAAGGAACTAAGTTGCCTGGCCAAAAGCCAGACAGGACCTGAGACCTGCTGGCAGTCACAGGAGTAAGCTTAGAAGTGGATCTTCCAAGCCTGCCAACTGCAGTGTCACTCGGCAGAGGCATCCCCACCCAGGCAAGTCTTGAGACAACTGCAGCCCCAGGTGATATCTTAAGGGTAGCCTTTTGGAGACTTAGTCAGAGACACCTAGTGAAGCTACACCCAGTTTCCTGATCCACAAAAATATGAGACAGTAAATGTTTCGCATCTTAAGCTGTTGGTTCTGGAGTAGTTTATTGCTTCTTAATACAGCAACAGGTAACTAATAAATATACTAATATGTCCTTGTAACAACTCTATGTGCCCTCTCTTTGTTACCATTGGTTGTCTAGCTTTTGATAAGATGGGAATTATTTTTACATGAGGACACTAGGGAAAATTGTCCCTGTATACCAGGCAATAGCCAAATACAGAATGTTCCCACCTCAAGTTGTTTACCTAAATATGGACTACAGAAAACAAATTATGGTAGCTAAAGGACTTTTTTATTTTGGTTTCCCTAAGCAGAGACATATTTATATGAATATATGCACAGAAGTTCACATTGCATATGCAAGCATGCATATATAAAAACCATATACAGAAAGAGTAGAATACCAAATTGCTAACAGTGATTACCTCTGGATGATTGGATTACTTTTATTTTCTTCTTTTGTTTCTGTGTATTCTACAATGAACAAATGTAAATTGTATATTAAGGGAAAAGGACTATATTCACATATCAGGTATTTATAACTAAAAAATGGAGGAGTAATTAGGTTTCTATTATTTAAAAGCAAGTGTTAGTGAGTAGTTAAGGGTAGAGATTTTGGAGCAAGACTGCCAAGGTTTTGGTTCAGCTTCTCACTGGTTCTGTGACATAAACTCTTCCATTTCCTCATCTACAAAAGATAATATTACTATTCCTCACTGGGTTAGTTAATTTTTATAAAGCATTTAGTACATAGTAAGGATAGATGCTATTATTGCACTGACAATGTGTCCAAATGAAAGTCTTAAGAATTTTCTTTGTGAAACTACTGATATCATTTAAAAGTAGAAAATAACAGTTTTTAAGAGAATATTTATCAATATAAAGTACCTTGTTTCAGCATTAGACAGAATTGGAGCTTTCTTTTTTTTCTTTCTTTTTTTTTCACTGCTCAATTTGTCATCATGCAAGGAAGAATCTGAGGGAAAGTAGATCAACTGTTCTTTGAGTTTCTTTCTTATTTTCTTCTTAATCTCCTTTGCCATTTCTTCAGCTACCTGGAGCTGATATACTTGCTTCAGTTCTTCTTCCTCATCTAAACTATTTCTTTTTTCTTTATTTACTTTCTCACTTTTCTGATGGGCAACATCTGGCTGTGACTTGGTCTGCTCTTGGTCCACCTTCTCAGGAGTGTCCTGTTCCATTTGCTGTGGAGTCACCTGGCACACTGTTGTAGTAACCTTCTCATTTGTCGTTTCTTGCTTTTCTTCCTCTCCACTCACATCATCATCTGGATTTTCAGCTGTTGCCTCTGGATTGCTTGGTTGGTTTTTAATGACTCTCATGCTCTTCTTTGGGTTATTAGCGTGAGCGGCAATTCACCAATTTTAGTTTCTTTAATTTTCTGAAGATTGCTTCTAACAGTGTCAAACTAGAAAATAAAGACACAATAATAAAGTTTCACCAAGCATAGTTATTTAAAGACAAAACACAATGACTAGTGTTCAACGATGTATAATATTGGAAAAATTATTTCATTTTTTTACTTGAACACAGTGACATTCTAGACTAGAGCATCTGATAAGCACTCTCCTAGTTCAATCTTCCAGCACTAGATTAGTAATCTCTCAGGGTAAATTCTGATAGAATGAGTTAATTAACATGTGAAAAAGCACTTAACAAATTTTATGTTAGTTAATTGCTTAAATCTCAAATGCCATTTTCCTCTTTGACAGAATCATCCATACACCAATTTAGAGAAACTGGTAAAGGGCCACTGAGCTAACACACCTCAGGTTCTCCATTAGAAAACACCTACAGGTCATTTATCTTGCTTTATAATTACATTCTAAAACCAAAAGTATAGAGCTCTAGGATCACCCTGCAATTAGTCCAAATACATCACTGAAGATACTGCGAAGTATGAAATATTACCAAGTTAAATCAAATGATAGACTAAACACACACCTGTACCTCTTTCCCCAATCAAATGTAAAATAAGAGATATTTTTAATAGAAAAAAAGGCTAAAAATCAAAAAGGGATATTACTAGTAATAAAATAAATATTTTAGGAAATTCCCAAAAGATAAAAAATAGGCAGGATTAAATCTATTAAGGAACTCCCAGAGAAAAAACACAGCCCGTAGGAAAAGAATTCTCCCAAGAAAAGGGTGCTTCCAGAGAAGCCATAAACTCAGAGTTAAGAAATACAAAGTGAAAGAAGGCATAAGCCTGAGGGTGGCCAATTGAGGAGTTGGGAGGGACAACCCTGTCCTCCACCTCCATCTGTGTTAGATGGTGACTTTCACTCAGGATAAAGCAGCTGAGCATAGAGAGATACCGCAGCATGCTTCAGGTAGGCACAATCTCACCAACGGCAGAAGCTGACCACGTCAAACACAACCAACAGGCAGGAGAGATTCTTAGAAAGATGACTGGACAACTAAAAACTAACAAACACTTAAGGAAAATAGCACAATAAAGTAAAAGCCACAAAATCCAATAAAACAGAAATATTAACAATGAAGGAAAAGGAACAGCATAAACAAAATACTAATTTAAAATAAGTGTGATTAATTAGATTTAGTCTCATTTGTTTATTTTTTCTTTTGTTTCCCTTGCCTGGAGAGATATATCAGATACAAATTTTTGTGAGCCATGTCCAAGATTTTGCTGCCTACGTTTTCTTCTTTTTTGACTTTTATGGTTTCAAGTATAACATTTAAGTCTTTGATCCATTTTGAATTTATTCTCGTGTGTAGTGTAAAAAGATGGTCTAGTTTCATTTTTCTGCACATATCTGTCCAATTTTCCCAGCATCATTTATTGAGTAAACTATCTTTATCCCACTGTATGTGTTTGTTTCACTGTTTAATATTAAACTGATTATAAAGGTGTGGGTTTTTTCTGGGCTCTCTATTCTATTCCATTAATCTGTGTCTGTTTTTATGCCAGTACCAGGCTGTTTTGATTATAGTTTAATATTAGGTAACGTGATACCTCCAACTTTGTTCTTTTTCAGGATAGCTGTTGCTCTGCAGGGCTTTTCGTGATTCCATATAAATTTTTTGAAATATTTGTTCTAGTTCTGTGAAATATGTCATTGGACTCTTGATAGGAATTGCGTTGAATCCACACATTGCTTTGGGTAGTATGGACATTTTAATGATGTTAATTCTTCCTATCCATGAACATGGTATGCGCTTTCATTTGTATCTTCTTCAATTGCTCTTCTGAGTATCTTATAATATCCAAGTACAGGTCTTTTACATCCTTGGTTAGGGTTATTCATATGCATTTTATTCTTTTTTTTCCCTAAACTAAAATGTTTTTGCACAGCAAAGGAAAACAACAAAGTAAAAAGACAACCTACAGAATGGGAAAACATATTCACTGATACATCTGATAAGGGATTAATATCCAAAATTTATTAAGAATTTACAAAATTCAACACCAAAAAAACCAAACAATCGAATTAAAAATGGGCAAAGGACTTGAATAGATATTTCTCCAACGACGACACACAGATGGTCAAAAGACATATGAAAAGAAGCTTAACCTCACTAATTATCAGAGAAATGCAAATTAAAACCACAAAGATATCATCTCACACCTTGTCAGAATGGCTATCAATAAATCAAAAAACAACAAATGCTGGCAAGGATGTAGAGAAAGGGTAACACTCATGTACTGTTGATGGGAATGCAGATTGCTGTGGCCACTCTGGAAAGTCATATGGAGATACCTCAAGTCATTAAAAATGGATATGCTTTTTGCCCCAGTGATCCCACTTCTGGGAACATACCCAAAAGAAGCCAAAAACTAATTCAAAAGAACATAAGCACCCCTACCTTCATTGCAGTGTTATTTACAATCAACTAGATATGGAAGCAGCCTACATGTCCATCAGTAGATGAGTGGATAAAACAACTATGGGACATTTACACAATGGAATACACTCGGCCATTAAAAAAGAAAATTTTACCCTTTGCGACGGTATGGATGGGCCTGGAGAACATTATGCTAAATCAAATAAGCCAGCCAGAGAAAGACAAATACCATATGATTTCATTCATGTATCTAATGAAAAAACTGAACTAACAAGCAAAATAGAGACAGACCAATAGATAGAGAGCAGGATGACATCTAAGGATGCAGGGACCAATTAGAGGATAGAGGGATTGAGCAAAAAGGAAAAAGAACTCATGGACATGAACATCAGTGGGCTGACTGCAGAGGGGCAGGAGATATAAGGGGACTAAATGATAATGGGAAAAAAAATACAATAAAAAAGAAAATATTAAAATATAAAAATAAGTGTGATTAAACAGCAATAAAGAAATGTGAAAGTATAATGGATGTAAAAAAAACAAACACTGCAGATATTAGAATTAAAATTTTGAGTGGTAGAAATTAAAGATATGTGTTGAAAAACAGAATGGACAAAAGCAAAGTGCTGAAGAATGGAAGCCAGTATCAAAATGAAGAATTCTCCCAGAAATGTATGAGCTTATTAATAAAATATGAAGCTCACTTCCTGAATATCCCCATTTTTAACAGTAGTTAGAAAATATCTAATATATGAGAACTAGTATCCCAAAAAATGGCAGAGCAAAATTAGGTTTACAGTGGTACATATGAAAAATAATATAATAATTAATAAATAATAATGCAAGAATAAACTCTGTAGTGCATACTCACAACTGTAAACCCACTCTGCCACACCATGCATATCTATTCTACCATCTCCAAGACTCTTTTGATTACCTAAATATAGTTCCAAATTCTATCTATTTTTTAAGGATGAATTATGAAGCTGAATCTTAAAAAACCCCACAAAACTTGCCTAATCAAATCTAATAAAAATAAATTTTCTTTAAGAAAAAGTTTACTTCACATGTTCTGTTTGTAGAAGCAATAAATGCTTCAGTTATGACAGTAAGAAACAAAAAATTAAAAATATGAAACAACAGAAAATACAAAACAACACAAAAAAGAAGACCCAGAGCTCAGCCTTGGTTGTCTCAGGCGAGGAAAATCATTGTTAATCTTTTCAGAACCTTATTTTTCTCTTTTCTATGAACATACTCATACCTGATGACCTTGAATTTCCATTATTTTAAGATAGGCCAAATGGAAATTTTTCTTTTAACTTCCAATGAGTACCAGAAATGTAGTGGCAACAGTATACAAATTGTGAGGAAATTAATGAAGGAAATAGTTGGAAAAGGAGAGCCAGGAATTAGCAACAGGAAAAAGAACAATGTTCTCGATTTAAAAAATGAAACAATTGAGAGCTGCATGGGTAAACACAGCTCACCTCCTCCCATACCACATCAAAATTACAATTAAAATACAAAACAACCATCACTCAAAACTGTCAGAAATCAAGTTGAATGGAAGTCTGACAACAATGTAATTAGTAACAACATCCATCCAGACTGGCAGGAGGGGCAGAGACTCTGAATTGCAGAACAGCCAGGTTCCATATCCACGTGTGGATACAAATTTGGGATATCTCAAGGACGAGCAGTCCAGCCCCACAGCAGGCCCACCAGCCCAGCGTTCCAGGGCCAGGAAGGTAAGTCCCCTTGACTTTTAGCTACAAAAACCAGCAGGGATTGAGCCAGTGGATGACATGGCTAAACTCCCAAGCAGTTCCCCTTAATGAACCCACACTAGGACTTATTCAGACTCATGCCCTCTGAACTCCAGCATGGGGGCAGCAGCCTGAGAGACACCAGTGGCAAGCAGGAAGGAAATGAAGTGTCGGGCATCGAAGCGAGAGCTGGGGGACAGCTTTCTCCCAGACAGAAAATTGCGCAGAAGCTACTGCTCCTTTTCTGAGCCCTCCCACTAGAAGCTGCAGAGCTGGCAGGCAGGTGCCGTATCTGACACTCCATCAACCTGGCTAACACTTTGTCCTGCCTTGGAGATCATCGAGACTCTGTCCCAGTCCCACCCAAATTATGGGTTCAACCAAACTGTTAATGGTGATTTTTCCATATGAATGGCTGGTCTTGGCTCATACTTCACAACTTCTTAAATCCTATCAAACAAGCAACAGCCAGCATATGTACCTCTTGCTAAGTGCTCCAAGGCCTGGTACTGCCAACAGCCAGCCTAGATTCACAGCGTGGATTTCCCTGGGAATCTCCAAGCCCAGCACAAGTAGCAGCCATCTCACATTGCTTTATAGCTCAGGCAGGGTGACCGTGGGCAGAACCCTGAATTGAATGACGTTGGCCTGTTCCACCCAGGAAACCCCAATCTGCATACACAGTGGATGGCTATAGACTACATCTGAGCACCACGACCTGGCCCTGCACACCTGAACCTCCACGAAGGGAAGAGTTTGAGCATCAGCAGTCACAGCATGACCTTGCAGATGACTGGCCTAGGTAATTACCTCCCATTGATCTGCCAACAGCAATCAAAGCTCAGCCCACACAAAGGGCACACCTTGAGTACACAGCTTGGGCGATAGGGGTGGCTGTGCCACTAGACCCTACAGAATACCTACTACATTAGGCCAAGCTACCAAGTCAGGGAGTTACAGCAGATCTATGAAATATACAGAAACAAAATAGGGAGGCTGCCAAAGTTAGAAAACAAAGAAGCATGGCCCAAATGAAAGAACAGAACAAAACTCCAGAAAAACGACCAAACAAAATGGAGATGAACAATATACCACATGCAGAGTTCAAAGCACTGGTTATAGGATGTTCAAGGAACTTAGTGAGGACTCAACAGCATAAAAAAGATCCAGTCAGAAACAAAAGATTCACTAACTGAAATAAAGAACAATTTACAGGGAAAAAACAGTAGAGTGGATAAAGCTGAGAATCAAATCAATGATACGGAATATATGGAAGCAAAAAACAACCAATCAGAACAACAAGAAAAAAAAATATAAAAACAAGAATAGCAAAAGCAGCCTCTGGAAGAAGTTCAAGAGGTCCAAAATTTACATCATAAGGGTGCCAGAAGGAAAAGAAAAAGAGCAAGAAATTGGAAATCCATTTGTAAAAAATTATGGAAGATAACTTCCCTAATCTAGTGAAGAAAATAGACACGCAAGTCCAAGAAGCAGAGACAATCCCAAACAACATGGATACAAAGAGGCCCACTCCAAGACACACTGTAATTAAAATGCGAATGATTAAAGACAAAGAGAGAATCTTAAAAGAGAAAAGCAGTTAGTTACCTAAGGGGATTCCCATAGGACTGTCAGCGAATTTCTCAAAAGAAACTTTGCAGGCTACAAAGGATTGCCAAGAAATAGTCAAAGTCATGAAAAGCAGGGACATACAGCCAAGATTGCTCTGCCCAGCAAAGAGATCATTTAGAATCAAAGAGCAGATAAAGAGCTTCCCAGAGAGAGAGAAACTAAAGGAGTTCATCACCACGAATCCAATATTTATGTGAATTCTTAAAGGACTTGCAAAGAAAAAGATCAAAACTATGAATATAATGACAATAAATATCTATTTATCAACAACTGAATCTAAAAAACAAACTAATTAAACAAGAAGAACAGAGACAGAAATCATGCATACAGAGTTTTGTGATGGTTGCCAGATGGGTGGAGGATGTGGGAAGGGATGAAGAGGTGAGATTAAGAAATACAAATACGTAGCTACAGAATAGCCACCGGGGTGTAAACTACAGCATAGGAAACGGAGTAGCCAAGGAATTTACACACATGATCCACGGACATGAACAATGGTGTGGGAATTGTCTTAGGGAGGGAGGAGTGCTGGGTGAAGGGCAGCAAAGGGGGAAATATTGGGACCACTGCAATAGCATAATCAATAAAGTATTAAAAATAAGAAAATAAAAAGTGAAACCCTTGGAAAGCTATCACATGAGCCTCAGTTTTTAAATTCCTCTCTTCCACTGATGGCAGCATTTATACTAATAACAGCATATTAATTTTGTTGTGTGACTTTCTTTTCCTTTTGTACCTGCTTTTGCTTTATTCAATTAATTTTTTAAAATACTGCAATCAATACCAATCCCAAATATCTTTGGTAACATCGCATATGTTCCGTAGCACAGATGTTTATTTTTTACAAGAACCTGTCTTTGTGGTTTTGATTTTTTTAGATATTTATTTTTAGAGAGACGGGAGGAAGAAGAGAAAAATAGCAGTGTGTGGTTACCTCTTGCGTGCCCCCTACTGGGCACTTGGCGCACAACCCAAGCATGTGCCCTGACTGGGAATCGAACCAGCAACCTTTCAGTTTGGAGGCTGGTACTCAATCCACTGAGTCACACCAGCCAGGGCTGATTTTCTTTTTCTTGAGAATGGTTTTATGGGATAGTTTTTAAATTTCCAAGTTTATAAATGTTAAACTTTTGTTATCAATCTAGGTTCATTATACTATTGTAAAAAAGTGTTTACTCTATGGAATTTAATAGTTTCAATGACTAGATTCTGACTGAATTTTGAAGTGTCCCAAATAAATTTGTTCATGGCCTATTATATCTTTGTCCATCCTTTTCATCTTTACCATCTGTATATCATTTAGTATTTTGTCTTAATTTGTAACATCGCATATGTTAAAAATCAGCTATATTGACTATAACTTACATACAGTAAATTTCACCAATTCTAAGTGAATAATTAAATGAATTTTGGCAAATGTGTACAGACATGTAACTATCACCATATCATGATACTAAACATTTCCATCACTACACATGATGATGATTTACAAAGTCAACCCCTACTCCCACAGGCCTGGCCCCACTCGACCTATCATGATAGTTTTGTCTCATCTAGGATTTCATGTAAGTAGAATCATCCAGTATATAGCCCTTTGTGTCTCCTTTCCCTTACTCAGCATAAACCTTTGAGATTCATCCGTGTTGTTGCACATATATTAGTTTATTCCTTCTTATTGCTGACCAATATTCGACCGTGAGACTATATATCAGTTTTTATTTTTTCATACTACAAATTTGGGCTACTTTCAGTTTTGCACTATTATGTTTTCATTTATCTTGAGTGAATTCCCAAAAACAGAAATGGTGTACTAGATGGTAATTAGATATTCAACTTCTTAAATAACTGCCGAACTGTTTTCCCAAGTAGCTTACTCCTTTGCATTCCCAATATGTTTTAAGATCAGTTCTAGTTTTAACATCTTTGTCAGCACTTAGCATTGCCAATTTTTGTTAACTTGTTCTAGTAAGTGTGTAGTGATATCTCATTGCTGTTTTAAACTTCATTTCCCTAATTACTAATGACATTGATCTTTACATGTGTTATGTGCTATCTGCATCTCTTTTCTGGGTAAGTGTTCAAGTCTTTCACCCATTTTCATTGGGTTATTTTCACATCACTGAGTTCTAAGAGTTCTCAAAATATTATAAATACACTTTAAAATCTTTACTTACTGTTACATTTTCTTAGCATTGTTTTGATTTTTCACAAAGTCCACTTTATCCCTTTTTTATTTTATGCTTCATGCTTTCATATCGAGAAATCTATTCATAACTCAAGGTTAGGAAGGTTTTATCCTGTTTCTTATATCAGTTACATAGTTTTAGCGCTCATGTTTAGGTCATTGATCCATTTCTATTTAATTTCTGAACGTGATTGGTGGTTACAATTTATAATATTGCTATATGGATATTTGATTGTTCCAGCACAATTTGTTGAAAATTATCCTTTTCCTCACGGACTCACCTCGGCAATTTGTCAAGGATCAACTGACCATGTGCACTGGGTATATTTCTAGACTCTCTGCTGCTCTATAGCTTTGTGATGAATGTGAATTAGACAGTAAAATTCCTTCAACTTTGTTCTTTTCTCTAATTGTTTTGGCATTCTAGGCCCATTATTTAACTTTCTGAATAAATTTTATAATTAGATTTTCAGTTCTTTTTCTTTTTCATCCTTACCCAAGGACATATTTTCTGATTCCACAACAGGGAAAGGGAATGAGAGAGCAGAGGAGAGAAACATCAATGCAAGAGACAAACATCGGTAAGCTGCCTCTTGTCTGCACCCTGGTGACCAACCTGCAAACTACTGCAGGTATGTGCCCTGGCCAGGAATCGAACCCACAACCTTTTGGAGTATAGGATGACACTCCAACCAACTGAACCACCAGGCCAGGGTTGTAATCGATACTTCCAGGGACGCTCAGTGAGTGCAGTAGGCATGCTGAGCTGTGTATCTGATGGGCGTTAGGTGGTTACAAGCACTGGCTCCATTGTCAGATACCTGGATTCAAGTGTCAGTTCCACCTGTCAGTAGATAAATCTCTGTGGACCTCCATTTCCTAATCTTTCAAATACCGGTAACCCACCCATAGGATTTCTGCCAAGATTAAAAAATATGAAAGTAAAACACTTAGTACAATGCCTAGAGCACAGGCAAGCCTTTCAAAAATGGTGGCTGTTATTACTCTGTGTGTGTGTGTGTGTGTGTGTGTGTGTGTGTACACACAAACAGGTATTATAGTCAGATTGTTGGTAGGCAATACAATATAGGCATACCTCGTTTTACTGTGCTTCACTTTATTGCACTTCACAGATGTTGTGTTTTTTACAAATTAAACCCTTCACCAGAAAAAATATACAATTCACTTTATGCAATGCTTGCCTCGGACCCACAGTATTTCCGAGGTATGCTTGTACAGCAATCCTGCAAGGAGATCTAGGCTGAAGTTTTGGGCATCATCTGTTATCTGTGATGGCTGCCAGGGGAAAAAAAAACAAACCCCAAACACAGATCTCTGGGAGCCCACAAAATAAAGTGAAAATACATCACAGAGGCAGGTGATAAACTGGGAGAAGGAACTAAAGGGAAAAGAGTTTTAAGGAGGAAGGGATCTACACTGTGTGATACCACGAACTGCTGCCAGTTTTGAGGGGAGTTCACTGGATCTGCAATCAGGAAGTCACATATGCAAAGCTGTTTGCGGAGACACGGAAACCTGGAAGCCACAGGTGGAGAAACAAATGAAAGCTGTGACCTACAGAAGAACCACACAGATAATTATTTCTGCAATTCTGCTTTCAGCTGTCTTCCCCTACCCCCAAAAGGCAGTGACCTGAGGCAGTAGCCCTGAGACAAAAAGGTAATGGAAGGATTCTGCCGGGTTTTTTTAGACAGTTTCCACACCTCCAGCACCCTAAGCTTACACTGTAACCAGAGTACATTTCTAAAATACAAATATGATGGTATCATTTCTTTGTCTGAAACTCTTCACTGGTTCCCAATCACCCAATGGAAAATATGAAGTCCTTATTATTCGGGGCCTAAAACTACTCATGAAAGGACCCCTTGCCTTTCTTCACCTCCCCTTCTCCAGCCACGCCACGCTTCTGCACACATTCTGTGCTCTAGCCATGGGAAACGACTTGCAGCCTTCGCATGTGCCAAACTCTTGCCTTTGTACCACTACACCTGGAAATGCCCTTCCTCCTCATACCTCTAACAAACGTCTAACACACTGTGATACCAAATGCAATTGGCATCGTCTACAGAGAACACTCTAACCCTGAGGGGTAGTTGAATATTTCTCTTTGCTCCCACAGTGCCCCTGATCCTCATACCTCCTCCTAGGCCAGCCCTGAATTTTCACCCTGGTACTACGTCCTGTGACCTTCCCCACAACAGCTAACTGAACTGCTAGCTTTTTGGAGGGCTAGGCCTATATTCTCTTCATCTTTGTATTCCCACTTTAAAAAGACAAGCAAGAATGGCGCTAGGGTCAAAATGAATAAGGTTTAAGCTCTTGTTCTGCCACTTACAGCATGAGACTTTGGCAAGCTACCTAATATAACTAAATCTTGTAGGGGATTTTTGGTTTTTGTTTTTTTACCTGAAAAATTAAAATGGTACCGTTTTTGTAAGGAGAAAATGAAACATTGAAAAAAAAAGTGATCAGCACAGTAGCTATTCAATAGTTACTTTATGTCCATTATTACAAAATTAAACTAATTATATGACAGATAAAATACATTAATTATGTTTTACATTATTTAGTTACTTTAATGCACAACTCATAAACCTAAATAAAATTACTTTATGTCCATTATAACAAGATTAAATTATGTGACGTACATTAATTATGCATTACATTATTTACTACTTAGTATCTTTAATGCACAATTGATAAACATTAGCACAGCAAATGCACTACATAATGATTTCTAAACGTCAATGTACACTACAGCAAATAAACTATAGAATATTTGATTAGTAACATCAATGGCAAAAATTAAAGTCAGACTTAAAAAGGGATTCCTGTACCTCACCTATTCCGTTTTTTTAAATCTCCTTCACAACCCCTTTGACAGGCGCTGTTAAGAAAGACTATAAAGGACAATTAACTGCATTATGTTTCATCTCATTTTACTTTTCTCTAACCACCTGATTATTGCCCAATATATGACTAAAGAGCAAGGGGGGGAAAAGCTGCGGGGTTTGGGTAACTCACACCTTAGCATGATTTTACAGCATGGGGGACAAGAGAAAGAAAAACCCTTTATACAAAATCGAATTAATAAACCGAAGATAGTCCACATACACAAGATTCTAAATATGGTTTTAATACATTACTGGTATTTGGATTTATTTCAAATAGGTTTTTAAAATTCCCCATAGTCCTAACAATACGCAATGTTTTCCTGAAAGCACAAGCAGTAACAGCAATGACTTATGCAACAGGTGAAAAACCTGTTAGCATCGATTCCTGAAAAAGAAATATATTTCAATCAGTAGATGCTTCACAGAAGAGATTCTTAGTCTTTTTTTCCCTGTATTTATACATACTGATAAGACCCTACTAATGCAATTCGACTTTTTCCGTATAAATGCAACGCATCGAACACCTTTTCTCTGATGCCATTAAGAAGGTATTCACAGGTTCACTATCGGCACCAGGTTGACATCCTAAAACGAAATTAACGTACTACGCTTGTGATTTTAAAAGCGTCTAACCCAGAATTCGGAGTAGGAAAAGCAAAGACTGCGTTCACTCCTTCGGGACCCCACGCTGAACACTACGGGGTACTCCCTCTCCGGGGAGCCCAACAAAGGGAAGGAAAAGTACGTAGATTTCCCAAAAACCACAGTCGGCGGCGGCTGTGCTCGCCCCGTCAGCCTGTGGGTGCTCACTGCCGCCCCTGAACCCCCAGACCCGAGCAGCCCCCACAACGCCACCCGCGGGCGGGCTGAGTGCGTGGGCCCGGCTCGGCACCAGCTCGCCTGCTGCGTACTCACGGGGAGGGGAGCGGAGGGACGCCGACAGTCCGTCCCACCCGAGCCGACGTCGGGACTGTGCGAAGCGGCTTCCCAAGCCAAGATGGGCGGGCTGGCAGTTTAGCTGCCAGCCAGCCAACGCAGCCGCCAGAAGTCCCGGTTCCCGCAGTCTGCTCCTTGCCGCACTGCGGCCAGCTCGCCGCCAGTGACGTCACACCCACCGACGCCGCCGTTCCCTTGACAACCGATGCGGCCCAGCTCGGACCGCATTCCCGCTCCGGCTCGCCTTACGGCCCCGCCCTCGCGCCGCCTACGCCCGGGGCCGAGGGCGCTGCAGTGCGGCGCCCGCGGAACCGACGCGCGCGCGCGCCCGCCCGCCGGCCTGCGGGTCCTCAGACTGCGGCCGGGTACGCGCTCCGGGGGCCGCGCGCAGCCCTGCTGGAGCCCGCAGGGTCCTGAAAGGGAGAAGGATGTGCTCCCCTTGGAGCGGGAAGGGACCCCGGAGTGCTCAGGTGCCCGTAGAGCCTGAACCCACCACGAAAAAACACGTCTGCACCTCAGAACTGTAGCAGGCTCTGGAAAAACGGGACGGGGCCAAGCGAGCCGGGAGCCTATGGTGGAACCCGCCGAAGATAAACGCGAATGAGGGAAAGAGACACGTCGCGCGCACAAAGGGAAACATCCGCTTAAACGTGCAGAATGGATAGTTGTACTACGAACCAAATCTTAAGGAAAAAATCTTCCACGAGTCGTTTGGCGCTAAATGAACTCGGTTTGTGTTTAAAGCAGAACAAGAAGAAAAACGTGTCTTTCTGCGCCCCATGCCCCTCCCACTTCGTGATTTCTGCCACAGGCGCCATCTTTAGTTGTGAGTCACCAGGGCTGGAAAAATACCAGACAAATCACTCTTCCGCTCCTCAGTTTTCTGCTGTCATAGTCATGCACTGTAACCTGTTGCTTGGTCTGTACAGGAGACATCATGCATTTTTTCCTTGGAGGCCAGCTTTTCCATTCTCACTGACATCACCATGCCTCAGGAAGCATCTCATTTCTCCAAATCCTCTGAGAAGGCAGAAATATTACAAATCCAATGCGTCTCAAAGTGAACTGTATACTTTTCCATTGTAAACCTTTCTGGGTTTTTAACTTGGTCCAAGCTGCCACTATCTTCCCAGCCTTGTAGTTAAGATACCTATAAAGCACCCTCCTTCCCTCTTACCCCAAAATAATTTCCAGTCCACCTTTATAAAAATCCCAGTGAATAGCTTATCCATCTTTTCTTATTTTCCTTTTATTTTCGATTATTTTTAATGATTACTGTTCGAGTGACGCACGGGGATCCTGGATCTGAAGGTCACCATCCAGGGCCAGCTGAGGTGGGAGCATCGACTCTGATCCCGCAGAGCCCGTGCAGGGGTTATGACGGATGGGGAAAACAAAGTGAGTCATCACAGAAAAACTTCTCTGTTTGCCAGGACAGGGGAAAGGGCTCTTCGGCCTAGTGGAGAAGGCCAGCCCAAGCCTCATTTCCAAAGGCTTTTATTGAAAAAGTTATCAATGGGGCTGGGTACTAGGGATCTACAGGTGATCTCATTACATTCGTATGTTAATGTTCACAGAGAGCAGATGATGTTTAGGAAAACAAATGGCAGGAAGACACGGATTTACATGGGTCCATTTTCATGGGTCTGAGACGGGATGAGTAAACATGAGGGTGTAAACAAAAGGGCGCCGAAGGGTATAGGGTCAGGGTCTGTGAAGAGTGTAAGTTTCCTTCCCAGCAAGAGCCGGCTATCATAGGTTTTGAAGCAGAAACAAAGCATGCATTAAAGAATTTACTTCTAGGCCGATTTCCCCAGGGAACCGCCGGATCTAGTTTTTAGGATTGACTCTTGTATTATTTCAAGGCTGAGCCAGATACGGGGAAGGGCACGGCAACCAGGAAATAAGGAGATTTCTTTCAGATAGAATGGGGACCCTGGCCGTTTGCAAGCCAAGCCGCAGGTTGCATGTCTTCTTGCCTTTTATCCATGTTCCATAATTTTTTTCCCTGATGCCGACGTGGCTGTGCCAGTCCCAGGTTGTCCCTTCCATTGAGGGTCTTACCCGTCATTGACACAAGCCATAGCCCAGGGCCAAGCAGGGTGATGTGAGGGAGGCAGGGGCCGTGCCTGTGCCAGGGGGACAGGTTTTCTCTCCTCAGTGGCCTGTTCTCCCAAGGCTGCCTTGATTATTTCCAGCCTTGGGGCCCTCTCATCTATCGGCTGGGCTACAATTCCTGAAACCAGAAGTGCGTTTCCCACAGATTATGCTATTACACTGGTCCCAATATATCGCCCTGTGCCCTCCTACAGAGGACCACCAATCCCTCAGGCAATCTCTCCACCATAGTTCATGTCCATGGGTCATGCGTGTAAGTTCTTTGGCTACTCCATTTCCTATACAGTACTTTACATCCCCATGGCTGTTCTGTAACTACCTATTTTTAGCTTTTAGTCTCCTCACCTCTTTAACCATTGCCCCACACCTCCCCTTCCATCTGGCAACCATCGAAATGCCTTTGTATCCATGGTTCCGTCTCTGTTGTTCTTGTTTACTTGGTTTTTCAGACTCAGTTGTTGACAGATATGTATTTATTGCCATTTGTTTGTTCATTGTTTTGATCTTTCACTTAAATAACTCCCTTTTACGCTCCATATAATAAGGGGGTGGTGATGATGAGCTCCTTTAGTTTTTTTCTCTCTGGCAAACTGTTTATATGCCCTTTGAATCTAAATGATGGCTTTGCTGGGTAGAGCAGTCTGCGCTGTAGGTCCCTGCTTTTCATGCCTTTGGCTATTTCTTGGCAATCCCTTCGAGCCTGCAAAGTTTCTTTTGAAAAATCAGCTGACAGTCATACGGGAACTTCTCTGCAGGTAACTAACTGCTTTCGTCTTGCTGCTTTTAAGATACTCTTTTCGTTTTTGACCTTTGGCATTTTGATTATGATATGTCTTGGAGTAGGCCTCTTTGCATCCACCTTGTTTGGAACTCTCTGTGGTTTCTGGACTTGCATGCCTATTTCCTTCACCCAATTAGGGACGTTTTCTTTCATTATTTTTTTCAAATAGATTTTCAATTCTGTGCTCTTTCTCTTCTCCTTCTGGCGCCCCTGTGATGTGAATGCTGGATTGCTTGAAGTTGTCCCAGAAGCTGCTTACGCTATCATCGTTTTTTAAATTTTCTTCCTTTTTTGTATTCTTTTTTCTTCTCGTTGTTCTGATTGGTTGTTCTTTGGTTCTTTATGTTCGAAATCGTTGATTTGATTCTCGGTCTCATCCACTATACTGTTGTTTTCTTTCCCTGTAAATTGTTCTTGATTGCAATTAATGAATCCTTTGCTTCTGACTGGATCTTTTTTGTGCTTTGAGGTCCTCTCTAAGTTCCTGAGCACCCTTAAACCAACGTTTCGAACTGTGCATCTGATAGATTGTTTATCTTGATTTTGTTCTTCTAGAGTGTTGATCTGTTCTTTCTTTTGGGCCATGTTTCTCTGTCTTCTCGTTTTGGCAGCCTCCCTGTGTTTGTTTCCTTGTATTAAGTAGATGTGTTATGGCTCCCTGTCCTGGTAGCGTGGTCTAATGGGACTGGGGTCCTTAGGGCCCAGTGGCACAGCCTCCCCTATCACCCAAGCTGGGTACTTGAGGTACGCTCTCCATGTCGGCTGAGTACACCCTCCTCCCGTCGTTGAGCTTTGATCGCTGTTGGCAGGTCAGGATGTACCCGACCCGGCATCTGCAAGGCCACGCCACGACCACTGACCACCCACCCCTGCCCTGCATAGAGCATCAGCTGTATAGGGGGAGGGTGGTGGTGCTCTGACATGGTCTGTAGCTGGCCACTGGGTGTGCAGGCTCTGGGATTTCCTGGGTGGTGCAGACCAAGGTCCGCCCCTGCCTGTTTTCTACCCAGGGCAGCCTGCCTGAGCTGTAAAGCTATCCGAGATGTCTGCTATTTGTGCTGGGCTTGGAGAGTCCCAGCCAAAGCTAATCTGCGCATCTAGGCTGGCTGCTGCTAGGGCCAGGCCTAGGGCTACTTAGCAAGACGTACTGAAGCACTTGCCAAGAGCACTCCTTCATATGGAAAAGTCATGTCATGGTTTACAGTTTGGCTGGGCCCATTAGAAGGGCGGACTGAGTCTCTGGGGACCTGAGGGCAGGGCAAACAATGTTAGCCAGGCTGATGGAGTCTCAGACAGGCAACTGCCTGCCTGCTCTGTGGCTCCTTGGGGGAACGGCTGAGAAAAGGAGCTATGGCCACTGCCTGCCCTTCTGTCTAGGACAAAGTCGTCCCCCAGCTCTCACCCTGATGCAGGACACTTCAGTTCCTCTCCGCGTGCCACTGCTACCCTTCAAGTTGCTACCCCAGTGCTGCAGCTCAGAGGGAGTGAGTCTGAGTGAGTCCTAATGTGCGTTTTCAAGGCGAACTGCTTGGGACCTTAGCATTTTCATCCACCATATCAATCTCCACTGGTTTCTGCAGCCAGAAGTCATGGAGACTTACCTCGTTGGCACTAGAGCCCTGGGCTTGGGAGCCTGGTAAGGGGCTGGGACTCCTCAGTCCTGAGATATCCCTCTCGAATTTGTGTCCACCACATGTGGATGTGGGTCCAGCCCATTCCATATCTCCTTATCTCTGCCTCTCCTGCCAGTCTGGATGGATGTGGTTATTAATTCCATAGTTGTCAGACTTCCATTCAACTTGGTTTTTGATGGTTCTGTGTGAGAGTCGCTCTATATTTTGGTTGCAATTTTGATGTGGTTGTGCGAGGACAGAAGCCGTGTTTACCTATGACCCCTTCTTGACCGGAAGTAGCTTATCTTTCTTAATATTCACTGCCTAATGCCAGCCTTCATGGCTCTTCACAGGGATGATTTAAGAGGTCGCCTTTAGCAGCCCCTGACTCAAGTTTCGACCTCTGAATTCCATTCTCCACATCGCTAACTAGAATGGCCTCACTAAAAATGTAAATCTAATAGTGCCAGTCTCCTGAAAATTCTTCCAAGATAGCCTATAGAAGAAAAGTCTATTTGTTTTGCCTAGGATACAAGACACTCCATCTCTCTGACTAGTTTCATTTTTTCATTGCCTCATTTCAATTTTATGCGTCAGCAATATTGAAATAGGTGCACCGCAACAATCTGTATCTTTTCATTCCCTAGTTCTTGCTCACATTCTTCCTTTTCCCTGAAAATTCCTGCTTGTAAACTAATTCTGCATGTCTTGGCCCCAATGCCCATCCTTTGAATCTTAACTTGTTTGATTAATTCCTGTAAACGCTCTTGCTATATATATCCT